TTCTCTAGATATGTACGTATTTATGTACGTGTATCGATAATCTATTCTAAAATTCATAAGTACCATCCTATCTCTCTAAACTCTAGAGTCTAGATCTAGTCTAGACACATACGATCTCCGGCCACCTTAAGCGCGGGCCTGCGGACGGCGAGCATGGGTGGCTCCCCGTCCGACCAAACAGACCATCAGACCACCACAGATAGAGCCAACAGGGCCGATGCCGATTCGGAATCGCGGAGAACCTAACGGGTTACTGGGGCTTCGGCTCAGAATCAGAATATTTTTATTTGTAAACATAGGTATGTACATATGTGAGGTGTTACAGGTAGGTACTCCATTCCATGCTCGACGTGCAGGAGAAGGAACGGGGTGGTTTTTAGTCAGTAAGAGTCTGACACTCCCTCCCGCCTCACCCAGTCGTGAGCAATCATTCGATGATTAAAAAAAAAAGATCTAAACAAATGACATTTAAATGTAAGTCAAACGAGAGAATAGAAAAGTAAAAGTATTGGACTTGACACATTTGGTTGAACACCTCAGTAAATCGAAACAATCTGCAGCCGTAAGTACCTTTATCACTATTACTTGATTAATGAAATAATATTAATCATTTTTTTTCCAGCTGAAGAAACACGATGCAATTTAACAGGAATGGCATGTTTAAACAAATTACAAAATCATTTGACTATATTGAAGCCGGCTTGGGCAAAACGTCCTGGACTCTCTTGCAACTGCCTCCCTTCGTGTGATGAAACCGAAATTACTGTTATCAAAGATATCACTACCTCGTGAGATTGTTGTTTCTTTCTAACTATGTAACTTATATGATGCCTCTTAAGTTTATTCACTACGTAATATATACTAGATAGGTAGATGTTAACAGTCCGAACTATAAACGTTATCTGCCTGACTGTGGAAAAATATAATTAGGTACTACCTGCTATTTTACAATTTGTGTCTAGGAATTTCTGTGATACCATGGCCTCACAGAAAACCGACGTGAAGCAACGCTTGCGTTGTGTTTCGTCGTGTAAGTGAGGTTACCGGAGGCCCAATTACCCTCCCCTTCCCCAATATCCCCAATTCCTGAATCCCCAACGATCCTCAAACTCCTGTAAAGTATTTAGTGTTACTTGCTTTCTGTTAGCCATACACAAAACTTTTCGAATTGTAATAATATTACAACGAGTACCACAGATTAAACACTAAAATAAAAGCTACAACTTCCTTGTAGCTAACACGTCAAACCAGACGTATCATAAGAAAAATAATATCCCACTTCGTCTATTTATATAACAAAGTCTATTATTAAAGCAGGTTAGCTTTAAAAGGAATGGTTATTCCTTCCGCACCCTTTTATACAACTATTTGCACAGTGGCGCCCTCTCTGTTTTAATTCGTTATCGCCCATTAATGTTTCAGGGTCAAAGGTAAAGCTAACAAAAAGAAGGCGCACGTCGAAATTGTTCTCGCCTATTTACCCACTGAAAGATTCAAGAGAAACGTTGTTAGAAGTCGGCTTGATTTAGTTGGTAAATTATTCCTACGTTATATTAACGTATTTACACTAGGCAAGGCACCTAAAATAAAAAATATAAAGATTTTGATGATTGTCCTGAAGATACCTACTTGTTACTCAGTTTTACAAACAGCCAAAACAGCTGGACCGATCTACATGAAAAGGATTAGAATTTGCAGAACTATCTAATATAGGAACAATCATTAAGCATTCAGCCTATATGTGCCTATCTCACTTCATATTGTTCTTAAGTCAACTACAGTTTTAAAAACTTGCTAAATATGTTCCAGTGTCAGTTGGAGGCACGACAGGTCTATTCGTTGGAGCAAGCTTACTAAGCTTTGTCGAACTATTCTTCTTCTTCACCGTCCGCTTCATCAGTAATATCTGGATGCAAAAGAAGAAGGACAATGAGCCTATAACCACTAAGGACACACCATTCCTGCTAGAACTTCCCGGACCTCCAGAAATTGAAGTGGTTGGGCCTCAGAGTGATAGACCACAGGAAGCATATGCTACTAGCGGAGTTCCTAAGTTTTCTGCTAAATTGTACAAACATACAATCAAATTAAAATAACTATAGGCAGTGAACTACGTAGCTTAACAGAGATCCAACTTTTATCAATCACGCGCTTTGTAATTGCCACAGTGTGCGGTTTTTTCAGTCAAATATTATCTACATAATATATTTTCTTTCAGCTTTGCTATGCGCCAACAAGTACACATTAGAATTCTTCTTATTGTCTTTTGTATTCATGAAAAAGTCCGATTTAAATAAAACATACAATAAGAGTGTACACAGTGTGAAATTGCTGTTAGGTATAACTTTGTACCTTCAACCCGTCTTCCCAAAGTTAAGAAGTTCCCAAAGTTTATGTGTGGAAGAGCCATGCTTCGGCACGAACGAGCTGGCTCGACCGGAGTGATACCACGGCCTCACAGAAAACCGACGTGAAACAACACTTTTCGTTGTGTTTCCTCGTGTGTGTAGGTTACAAGAGGCCCAATACGCCCCCCCCCCAGTCTCCCCAATGCCTGAATCCCCCACCATCCTCAAATTCCCAGGCATGCACTTGTAACGCCTCTGGTGTTTCAGGTGTCTATGGGCAGCGCCGATTGCTTACCATCAGGTGACCCGTCTGCTCGTTTACCGGCTATAAAAAAAGTACACGAGGCATTTTCAACACTTTAGCTTTTCGTAACTTTATCCATTCAAAGTTATATCTCTTAAATCATATCTGTAGCTATCTACAATTGCAATAATTTACGAATTCTTACATCAAGTATCAGATATCAGATTGTCTTAACCGTGTTGACTTCCCAAGTAACAGTATAACATTGTAACAAGATTCACAAGTACTTACATCATCAGCTTGGGACTATTACACTCCTGAGAAAACGTCTCTTCTTACACGGAGAACGAAAAAGTATTCACTGCGCTTGCTGATGTCTAACTTATGACTACAAATTATAAGTCTAGCTTTCCTCCCTATTTTTACCTTCACCAATTTATATTGTGACTAATTTTTGACATTTTATGTGATGAATATTTTTATACTTATTAAATAATGTATGCCTAATGGGCAGCTTTTTCCGCTACTATAATAATAATTTTAAGACCCTTTTGTATCACCAAAAAGCACACGAATAAATACTTTGACTTTGACTTTGACCAATTATGTCAATAATAAATCTTCTATTATATAAAAATGAAACCCGTTCCCCGTTGTCACGCCATAACTTGAGAATGGCTGGACCGATTTGTCTAATTTTTTTTTTGTTGTTACGAAGTCGCGGGCGGAATAATAGTCAATATTTTTCAATCATCAGTAATTCTTAACTGTAGAATAAGATTCACATTTGACAGTTATTAGTATGGAAGAATTGTCAAATATTCAAAGTTATTCCTGTGATAAAATTTAACTGAACATTGAAAAATCGGCCCTAAATATACTTAGAAGAAAGTACATATTATGTATAACCCGGAAAAAGTCACATTAGTACTTACGAAGTTTCGAAGCCAGACAAGTACCGTGGAAAGCACATCAACCTACTCTAATGTGTAAATTTTTGCCATTGTATTTTCGACTTTACATCTAAACGATAGAGTTGAAAATCTTATCTAGAAATATGACACAAAAGGGTAGGTGCACCTGCTGCCGAGTATACATCATTACGAAATACTCCAATGACTAGTAAGATGTATATATGTGCAGTATCTGGGAGTGTCCCAGTTACCAGTAAGTACAGGAAGACATCGGTTACTTGATGTAAGAGCCCATTGCTCTCTACTGACAGCTCATCTCATTCATCTCGTATAATTTGTGCTCGATTCTGTCTGATAGATTGCTGTTAGGTTATTGTAGGTACAATGTATTACATAACATCACGCCTTTTTTCTCGAAGGGGTAGGCAGAGGTGCACATTACGCCACTGTACAATGTAACCCACTTTTCACTAATGTTATGAGTCCCATGTCATCATCAACAGCTTATAAATGCCCACTGCTGAGCAAAGCCTCTTCTCACACAGAGAAGGTTAGAGCATTAATCACCACGCTTGCTCAATGCGGGTTGGCGATTTCAAACTTATAATTAGAAATTATAAGCCCAGGTTTCCTCACGATGTTTTTCCTTCACCGTTTGTCAGTGATGTCTAAATAATCTTAGAAAGCACATATAACTCGGAAGAAGTCACATTGGTGCTTGCCGTTGATAGGTTTCGAACCCGCACCCTCATGCATGAGAAGCAGGCGTCTTAAACCTCCGAGCCACCACGACTCCCATGTAATAGGGGGTAATTGGTTGGTAATAAGGTTTTAATTGGCACGCTAAATGCTTCTTGGATCAATATTTCATGTTATAATTTGATCCTAGATTGATGTTCGAATAAAACCAAACAAATTTCATTGACAATTCGTTTTATTTTTAGTAACAACAGAATCTGAACCTACTCTATTCGTAATTACTACAATAGTTTAATTTACTTTACTAAAATACTATTGTAGACATTAGACGTAAAAATAGTAATACTGATGAGTTAGATTTATAAGTACTTATACAAGTTAGGTTGGGATCACACCGGTTGCGGTGCGAAACCGAAGTGATGATGCAATGATGTCGTCAAATCATTATTAGATAGCTTTAAAGCCAGACTTTGATCTCTGAAGCAATACTAACTTATGAAGTGAACGGGAATCCATTGTGGAAAGATTTAATGCTTGCATTTAATAACCACATTTATCTACTACAACAATAATTACTTTTTATAAAGCAACAAAATAATGACTATTATTAAAACAATATTGCAATAAATAATTACTGGAAAACAATAAAAGATTTTAACGATCGAATTGTTTCTCAATTCTAATTCTGTCTCTTTCGTTTGAAGGTATTTTATAGAGACAGAGATATAATCATTTTAAAAGTTGAATGGCATTTGAGCGGTGCAGCATAAGCGTCATAATCTCTCTAGTCCGTTGTGTGTGTGACCCCAACCTTTTTACATTGTTTACACTCAAGTATATTGCAATATTTCTAGAACATTCCCTTTTCCTTTTATTAGCGATTTTGGCACTTATACAAAAAAGTTAAAGTCTATATTTCAACTAACCTCTAACGTAGCTTTAAACTTCTATTATCGAGACAAAAGAGGCTGCTGGTCTAGAGACTCTTGAAGATATTGACAATAATCTGTTTTCATATATATATACGTCTAGATACTCATTTTAAAGACGTTATAGAAACTTGAAATATACAAATGCTATTTCTACATAATATATAAAATATTACAAAATGAAACAATTAGAAAGGTCAAGAGAAACAAACATTATTTGTCAATGAATAAAAATAAAATGTTCCAATCGTAATATGCAGTTAACCAGATATTGTGCAGTACTATACCTACACACTTTCAAATTATTACATAAATTGTTAACAATCTTACAAAACTACTAAATAAATATCATCTTTCACTATTTCTAAACACTTTACACTTTCATTAGAACTTGATGACAAATGAAATAATTCGCAGTAAGTTATAAATGAAATATGTCAATAAGTAAATCATACAAAGATTTGTACTTACACATACCTACTAATATTAAATAAATAATTCATACACAAAAATACAACTTATAAAATAAACTACGGACGTAATTAAAACATTTAATAAATTACCTACTTCTAAATTCTTCTATTCCTATGACACCTACGTGAATATATTGTATAGTAAATATAAAGAATCGCCAGATAGGAAAGGTCCCTAAAGTCAGTCAATAATTCAATATAATAATTTCGAAAGTCTATAAACAGCTTTACACAATTGATAGGTTCTAATTTATCCAAGTCTTCAAACACAGACTTTACAGCCCAAGATTTAAGGATCATTTTAGATCATAAAGATAAACAACACAACAGTCACACCTATCTAATTTATTGATGTTGTCGACAGCAAGTTTTGTAAAGCAGTTGCATCTTTCGTTATAAGTTTTAGATATTTCCTAATATGGGCTATATGCCTTAAGTCTTAAAGATCAATTTGGGTCATAAAATCACAATTTTTGATAGAAATATTTGAGTAAGTTTCTAGATGTATTAAGACGTATACAAACTTTACATTTGATGCTGTGGTTCATTATCTGGATCTCCAGTTCCTGACCGAGGTCCTAGGGTATCAGGTCCGTCGCATCAGCAGCCAGCGACTGCAATGGCCATGCAGCTGCAACTTTCTGTACCTCATGCAGTGCCATTGCGGGATCTGCTGCATCCGACGAAGAGCTTCCATCTAAAATACATTAAGGTTCGTTAATTTTATGGTATGGTTACTACTCCTGGTTTTTAATAATGAGGTAAAGTCGGCAGGATTTTATAATTATCTGCTATTGGTTCTTAGGACTGCCCCATTGGCCGAGTGGTCGAAAGTGCGACTGCCGGGCAAGGGGTCTCGGGTTAGATTCCCGGGTCGAGCAAAGTATTACTGGGTTTGTAAAAACTCAGTAGTAGCACGGAGTCTGGAAATGTGCCCGGTATATGGCAATAGGCTCACCCCCTATTACATGGGCCTCATAACATAAATGGTGAAAAGTGGGTGTAATATTGTATAGTGGCATTAAGTGCTCTAATGTGCACCTCTGCCTATCCCTTCGCGGATAAAAGGCGTGATTTTATGTTATGTTTATAGTTCTTAGGGTTTAGATTTTATTTTTACGGTTTACCTGATGATAAGACAGGATTTAAAGTTCAAGGCACTTCGGTGGTACCCAAAATATAATGTCAATAGAAACTCTCCATGTATAGTGTACCAATGCCTTTTAAATTAAGAATAAAACCCCAGTTTTTCTAAAGTACGAGGTAATAATATGGAGTGAAATAAAAATATCGATAACAAACTTTTCTCGTAGCGAGTGCTACGAATTTTCATGTCCTCAATATTTTTCGTAGCAATGTGCTACGACACCTATAACTTTGGTGACGTAGCACACACAAACATCACTTTTAAATTATTTATTTTTTAGTTTTTCTTTACTAAACTAACAAATTTACTAAATAAATATCACATAAAATTGCATTTATTTTTCATTTCAAATATTTAGTACAGCATTAAATGTTTGATACAACTAAGTAGTTGCTATTTAGTAAACACACATAAGAAGTATTATTATAAACGCTTTTTTATTAGAACCTAAATAAAGGAACTATGTATGTAAAAGTTCAACAAAACTTTCGCTAAAGTTGCGTTACTTGCCTAAAACACGTTCCGTAAAAAGTTTTATCCTAACATATTTTTCAACACTTAAATGCAAATAATTAAACGCAATAAATAATCCAATACATAATAATAAAATACTCACATAATCAATATTCCCCCCTCGGAATGGATACGCCTCACTCATGGCGATGGAACACAAAATGATACCAAAAATAAAACACACATAATACAACTTCATTTTCATAGACAATGACAAACTTTATCTGTGGTAGCGAGTGCAAGAAATTGGCGCGAAATGCTCCCGTACTCCCGTGTACGTCCAGTTAGCGCTCAGGTATTATGAGAAATGTCTGGATAGCTGTGAATCCAGCATTTATAGACTATGGCCGCCTACACACTTTCTTCCCGAAGAGCGAACAGACTGCAATGATAAATACAAGCCACATATGACATAGGAACTCGCAATTATGAATTAACTCTTTAATTAATCCATTACTGTCAGTCTGTACGAGTCGAAAACCCGCTTGAAGTAGGTATGTATATTTTTAAGGATATTTTACTGAATAAACTTTGAAATTGAGTAAAATATAATTGAAGTTATGAAATCTTACTTGTCATATAGAAATCAGGTAATTAATCCTAAAAGGTTTAAAATATCACAAAAAAAATTGTCGTAGACTTGTGATGAAGATGAATTAGTATCTCAGAATTGTAATTTAGAGTTGAGATTCCAATGTTAATGTTTCTGAATTGAGTTTTTCATTAGTTTAACTCGGTTGAGTACCGTCATTATAGACACAATTAAAGAACAATAGGTTGCGGTCACCGGTGACCGCGCGGTGTTTGACAATAAGTTAATATCTACTACTTAATTGTTTTCAAGTCATTGCCTGAACCTTATAAAATACAATGGAAAATCCGACGATGAAGACCGATTACTTTACTGCTGAAAGTAATCATGTTTACAAACAATAAATAACATCTCAACTTGACACAATTTTAATTAAAAATATTCTGCATCTAATAATAAATCTATGATTCTTTGTTGAACATGGTTGTAAGACAACAATGCTCTATTCTTGCTGAAGATAAGATGTACAGGTCTTTTGTTGTTCGCGTGCTGTGCTAAGGTATCGTGATTAAATTATTTTCTATTTACACCAGCAGCTGCCTTTCTCGTGTCGTGAAGTGCTAAGCTGTATAATATGGATAAAAAAAGAATATTTGCCTGTGTAACTAATAGATTATAGGTATATTGTCTAGTAGATAGGTTGTCTATATTGGGACTGCCTCGTTGGCCGACTGGTTGCAATGCAAGGCATGGGGTCTCGGGTTCGATTGCCGGGCCGGGAAATTACTGGGTTTTTAAAAAAAATCTCATTAGTAGTAATAGCCTCACCCCCTTTTACATGGGACTCATAACATAAATGGTGAAAAGAGGGTGTTATATTGTACAGTGGCATAACGTATACCTCTGCCTACCCCTTCGTGGCCAATAAGCTTGTTATTAAAGATATTGTAAATTACAAAATAGGACTTTAAAAAATAGATAAATTTTAACCGAGGAACTTTGAATATTTGACAATTCTTCCATAGTAAAAACTGTCAAATGTCAATTTTATTGTACAGTTGAAAATTAACTGGCGATTGGAAAATCAGCCCTAAATAAAGATTAAACACAGCAGCAACATTCAACAGCCAAAAAATTAAACATACCATTCTTTGCAAAAAGTAAATTTAATAAAATTCCAATTACATCAAAGAAGTAAAAAAAAACTATGAGATTTAATAATAATTATATGTTATGCTAATCGAATACATAGAAGGCACACACAATAAGGCAAGTCTTTGTTTACCGTCGTATATCAAAGGATCTAAAGGCGCAGCTAACAACGGGCCCTTCGTTTTTGAAGGCAGCCTTTTCAATTCGCGACTTGGGGCTTCCCACCTTTTGCAGCCAGGTTTTCATATCTTCTACAGCTACTGCAGGGCCTTGGATTTGTCCTACGACAGTCCCTTGAGCTGTGTTCATCACCCATCCTTTAAGACCCAACTCCGTGGCCTTCTTCTGAGTGTGTTTCCTAAAATAGACGCCCTGCACTTTCCCGAAAACTTCGAAATCGCTGGTTACAAAACTCGCCTTCTTATTCGCGACTGCCATTGCGATAATATAAGAACAACGTAGGTATTTTAATTAAAAATGTCCTCAAGAACTCGGTGAATAAACTTCACATTTTGACAGTTAATTGTTTGTTTGATATCGTCGTTTGGGAAACAAAACGATAAGGGCGTCGTTCGTGCCTGTCTGTTGCGAAGGTTGTCATGGAACTAACAAGTCGGGATTGTTCTCAAAAGTAGGCTGATAATAATTTCCACTTGATATAGAAAGATATTTTCAATGCCAATAGATGTGAATTTACCTGTGAATTAATTCTTTTATTCAGATGAACATTTTAGCCTAACTATGCATGGACGAGTAGAACTAGTTACGAAAGTAAATAGGCGAATATTGGTAGCGGTATAGGTAATATAGAGGCAACGACTTCGTTAAAAAGAATACAGTTATAGTCAAAATAGTTAAATTCTCTGAACTAAATCAATCTTTATGTTCTTATTGTAAATGCTGCCACGATACTAGTATGGGGCAAAGTTTAAAAAAATGTCTTGACTAATTTTATCTTGTGTCTTTTCTTTATATGTTCTGTGGTACACACCCTACGATCTAATTATACAGTCGAACTGTACAGTTATCGTAAGTTGTGTAGAGCAAACATTTGATCTATACAGTTTTACTTAAAGATGTGTAGGCTGAATTTTTTTTTATGAGACGAAATTTTCGAATGGCTGCTCCCGCCTGGGTGAGGCGGGAGGGAGTGTCAGACTCTTACTGACTAAAAACCACCCCGTTCCTTCTCCTGCACGTCGAGCCGGAGCCCCGGTAACCCGTTAGGTTCTCCGCGACGTGTAGGCTGTATAGATCTACGATTTAACTGTACAGTTCGATTGCACTTAAATAGTAAGATGTGTAGTGTGCATAATACGCAGAGGTGTACAACAAAATTGTATAGTAGGCAATCATCATTAGACATTACACCACGAAATAATAGTTATCTGTAGGTATAATGGTCGTAACATTTGAACACCTGTGCCGCTCTCATACTGATTAAAATCTATATTAGAAATTAAGCTCCCGGCATAATAAAGGTATTTTACATCTTTATTATTTATTTAGATAGAACAATGTATTGTATTATTGTTAAGCACGTAAGTTGTTGTATAAAATAAATATTTTGGAAGGAAAATTGTTTAGTGTTTGCTGTTGGTTGTGACGATGAAGTCCAATGAGTCCTGTAGGAGATATTTAGAGATATGGTGGAATGGGATAAAGAGTTTGCCTGAGACGACTTCCATTCATGGTTTTAGATTCATTGCTGATACGCAAAGACATTGGGTGGAAAGGTAATTAAACTATGTAATACCGACATAGTTACCAAAGTATTTGTTAGTTTTTTGATGATAGCCACATTCTTGCTTGTTCTTCTTCATAAGCATCTGGCTAGGTACAATTTGGAACGAGGACTTGTATCCCCAATTACCCTACCTGAATCCCCAACGATCATCAAACTCCTAATCCCCAAAAGGCCGGTAATGCACTTGTAACGCCTCTGGTGTTCCAGGTGTCAATGGGCGACGCCGATTGCTTACCATCAGGTGATCCGTCTGCTCGTTTACCGGCTTATGCTATAAAAAAAAGATAGACCATGTTTTATGCGTTTAAAATGGCCTTCTTTGTATAAATAAAATAAATTATTTGGCATTAAATGTTCCAGAATATTCTGGTTGGTAGCCGTTGCACTATCGTGGTACGGGTCATCCCTGTTGATTGCAGCCCAGTATGATGCTTTCCAGAACAATCCAATTTCCTTCGTGGTGGAGACGACCTACAAAGATTGGAACACAGAGTTCCCGACAGTAGTTGTCTGTGAAAACGATAACTCAAACCGTGTAGAAGAAATATCTGATAAGTAATTTTGTTTTCAATTAAATATTGCTCAACGAGATACCTAGCTATTAATTATATTGTTCCTCGAAGGGGTAGTGTACTTGTCGTAAACTTAATTAACGCTAAAAACGAACTTGTCGCCAATCTGTGATTTTTGCTCTGACAAAAATATAGGGTAGTTGCCAGGGAATGAAATTAAAAATCTAATTAGTCCGTCAGTTAGATAATGAAAAAATATTAGACACATATTTTTTATTTTCCCGTATAAAGTTACAATACTTAAATAAAACGTGAATGTGAACGGCTTGTGAATTTATTTCTGCAAAAAATCTGAAAAAAAAATTACAAAGATTAAACGTCCATTTTTGTCACAACAGGCTATGGGGTGAAGACCACGATTTCAATATGGAAGAAGTGTTAAAAGAACTAGCTTTTTTCAAAGGAATAACTTACTATACTTCGGAATTTTGTAACTTGGTGGATCCCTTACCAGACTGTATGCAGACGAATTTGACTTATTACGCTAATTTGGTACGTAAATAATTACCATACAATGCACATACTTACTTAACTTACACCTATTTAAGAATGCATGTAGGTATGTAGCCAGTCATGTAAAACTAGGATAATACCAGTGGTGTCTAGGCATAACTGCATAAAGGTGCAGAATTTGCTTCGTTACCTACGTTTAAGCTATTAAGCTTTGCCAAAGAAGCTCGTACAGAATGCTCAAAGGCTAGTTGGACCGAGGAATGGGCTCCACACATACATCGGTGACTCAACTACGATCCCCAAGCCGTCTGCCAAGCGTGGGGATTATGGCAATAAGATATGATAAGGTATTGGAGTCTAATCTTAATATCTACTGTAGGTGAGGAGCACATGTGAAGAGACTTTAGCAAACTGCTCATGGAATGGGGAACCGTTCGAATGCTGTGAGTACTTCAGACCGATGGACACGGAGCTTGGAACTTGTTACGCTATCAACACTCTACAGGGAAGGTAAGGGAAAGTGTCGATCGATACTCGCTGATGCGTCGAAAGGTCATAACTGAGTAATAATCTCTTACGTTTTTCTTTCAGAGAGAAGAATGCTCCTAAACTGGACATGACGAGTAATCGCACCACGGGTCCAGGAGCTATCAGATTCGACGTGATGGTGACAGCAAACATTTACATTCTGAATGAGGAAGAGGTGCCCACACTTACTACTATAGGCTCAGATGTTCTCACAGTTGGACAAGAAATATTTCATAAGTAAGGATATACTAATTACTGACGGGAATTTAGGACATGAACACCTTTAATAGTCTTTTCATATTAATAAAGGGTTATCACATGTAGTCCAGTGGGTGCTGGGAGCCTCGGCTTTAGGTCTAAAGCCCGCACTATGGACGCACCTGATTGAAGGAGCGTAAAAACATTGTAGTCACGAAGTGCGTGCATTGCGTGTAGGCATGACCATCAATACGAAAAAAGACAATAATGACATAATCACATCCCTTTGTTCCAGTTTGTCTGGCAATGGTATGTCTAGGTACACGTTTGTCGTTCACGTAAAGCGATAGCTATCTAACGAGTTCGTCAAATTAGGAGACACTTAAGAAATTGAGTCCAAGGAATATGGCAGAGACTGTACCTAATAAAGTTAATTTTAATCATCTTTTGTAGGCGTTATATCACAATACGTAACATAGAAAATGACGCTGGGGCTAGATTGATATCGCCGGAGAAGAGGAAATGTCGCTATATAGATGAGAACTTCTTACAAGTGTACCATCACTATTCGTACACTGCTTGTACTGTGCAGTGTAGGAAAGACGCTCAGCTAAAGCTTTGTAACTGTACGAATTACTTCATGCCGAATGTTCCAGAACATCTGCGTTGTAACGTGAGCGGTATCATCTGTTTGAACAGTCATGTCCATGAGCTGTCGGTAAGGAGTTATCCATTACAAAGCTATGCCAGTTTTAAAATGTTCTCTTTTGTTTCATGATAGACCACCTCTTTTAAATCCAGGTTCTAAAAGCCAGCTGGTCGTCCCGTCCTGGTTTATCCTGTAATTGTCTCCCGTCCTGCACGGAGGCGGAGATTTCAATCACAAAAGATTTCAAGTTCGTCACGACGGATAGTTACGCGAGCGTTCAGATTGAACTGGCGGTTCTACCCAGCGAACGGTACAGGAGGAACGTGGTTCGAGGGGTCTTGGATTTAGTAGGTGAGGGTAGACATTAGAAAAACTATATAAACTTTGTACCTTTTCACAAATTACATTATAGGTACCAATAGGTAATGAGATTGCGCCTTACACAATCATACATCAAAACTCTGTTCTATTAGAAGAAGAGGAAATAAGCAGCTTTAGTGAAATACTTTTTTGGAAAAGGTATAGTCTAGTAAGCACTCTTGCTCGGCAGCTGCACTTATGTTACGACAATCTAATGAGGCATACCAACCAACGACAATGGATGTTTATAGGAGTTAATTAATATAACGTTGTATCAAATAGATACTCGTAAAGTTGACAATTATTTTTAATTGTTTCCAGTATCAACAGGCGGAACTGGAGGTTTATTCCTTGGAGCCAGTATCCTTAGCTTCGTGGAACTCTTCTACATATTACTTATCCGACCATTCTGTGACATTTACACGCAACGAGATGACGACCCTTGGCATCGAAGGTTTGGACTTCGACGCCTTCAAGATAATAACTTTGTTCCGAATTGGGGCTGGACTTATAATGGGAAGGCTGGAGACAAAGATACATCTAAGGTAGAGGAACGAACTCGGTAATGTGACGTAAAGTATTTTAAATATTAAGTACTAAAATAAATATATTTTATAGCATGTTAGTTACATACATACATAGTTGGTTTCTAAAGACATGTATACACGTGCAATTTTATCTCGCACTCAAGTTAAGTATTTTGTCAGCACATCCACAGTTATTTGTATTTTAAAATAAACAATGAACAGTGTACAGTGTATTTTATTACCTTAACTATTTTTGTATCACACTTGCCACCAACTGACCATTGAGGGAGTCTGTCTAAATTTGTATTGTGACTTCGTGAGACATACTAAATAAATTATTGTGTTTTCGGCTTATAGTAGCAGCGCGACAGTCGCCGCGTCGCGGGTCGCGAAATGCTGCTCATGAATATGAGCCTCAAGCTTAGCTTGAAACTAGTCGAGTTCCTCGTCAAATTATTATGTGAGTAAGCCGAAAACATAATAATTTATTTAGTCTGTCTAAAATTAAGAAAAAAATTGCTATTTTACTCCAGCAATGATGCAAATTGATAAACTAGATAGGTACCTACTTAATTACTCATTCTGCTAAAACATGACTAAACAACATGATTCATTAATTACACCCCACATCGGAACTTTCCAAACGACAAATTTTATCCACTAACAAGCTACAATTGTATTGTTTGTCTGAAACTCGATCGTGAGTACTGTATGCGAGTAAATTCTTCCGTGAACTGAAACGGGGACCATTTGAGTCAGGTGTCATAATTAGATTACGTCATCAATTCCTATATTATGTGTCAAGTCAGATTTTTCGAGTCTTCAACTAGGTTCTTGAACAATGAACTTTAATTGAACCCTTCCTTGCCACGTCATTTTTCTTGGTGTTGCATTAATTATGTAAACGTATCATGTACATATGTATGAAACAGTATTATTAGGATCGTTGTGGTGTCGTGGTGGCCCGGAAGGCTAAGACGCCCGCTTCTCATGCATGAGGGTTCGAAACCTACCAACGGCAAGTACCAATGTGACTTTTTCCGAGTTATATATACTTTCTAAGATTATCTAGACACCACTGACAAACGGTGAAGGAAAACATCGTGAGGAAACCTGGGCTTATAATTTCTAATTATAAGTTTGTAATCGCCAACCCGCATTGAGCAAGCATGGTGATTAATGCGCAAACCTTCTCCGTGTAAGAAGAGGCTTTGCTCAGCAGTGGGCATTTATAGACTGTTGATGATAATGATTATTAGGAACTGCAATCATGACTAAAGAGGTTTTTTGTACTTTTTAGATTGACTTTTCCGTTGCTCATTTGCGTATACGCATACGCGCGCCTATTGTTACCTGAAACAGTTTATCCTTCAGGTCGACTGTGCCAAAAACTAACCCACACACCTCCATAGTTGCACCATCTCAGGTTCTATAATGAATCAAACATTTTATTAATATCAGTCTAACAGTTTAGAAGGAAATCAATAGTCAAACACCTGAGATGTAGTTCTATATTTCAAAACAATGTAAGTACTGCATCATCTCTTGCAACCAGACGAAATAGTGGTTGAACGTCGACCCATGAAATATAAAAAAGTACATAATTATAGTATTACCTACCTAGGAATAGGAACCTACATTTCGTAACTATAACTGAAACATACATACTAAGTAGCAGGTATATCTGCTGAGAACGAATTATTAGACAAGGTTTACACGTCAAGTAGACCGTTTAGAGAGAAGCCTTAGAAAATTAGAAGGCATTAGACAAGCATAGAGTGACCACGAACACTGAACTTGTTTGTCCCATATGAATTGCGGAAGTATTATTTATTAACTTCTTGTTTTATTTATAATAACAATCGTAAGACATACTGAATTAACTAAAAATATCGATACTCGCGTAAATATACTGAGAAAAGCTCTACCAGTTTCGCGTCACAGAGGGACTCTTTTCATGAGCAGCATGCATAGTCGCGGCAATGGACGTCGCGCAGCCCATTCAGCCTAGATTGTCTATGTATAACTTATAATATGTACACAATAATCGGGGTGCCATTTTCTATTAAGAAAAAAGCCATGTACTTAAATAAAGATTAAAAACCTCTTGTCTTGGTAAATGAGGCACAAAAGAAAATACATTGAGTCCTGCGTAGATCTGCTTACCGACAGTCCACGAGTTAAAACATCTGGCAGGAAATGCAACAGAAGATTAAGTTGCCATAGTTTTAGTGTCTGTGTAAGTAGCAAAAGTACCTTATCCATTATGTCATTAGAATCTATAGTTACTTATTTTGTTGAAGCCGCGGAGAACGTAAAAAGTTACCAGGGCTCCGGCTCGAAGTGCAGTAGCAGGAACAGGGTGGTTTTGGTCAGTAAGAGCCTCACCAGGGCGAGACATTCAACGATTTTCCCACCTTAAAAAAAGTACTTATTTTCTTATACGCTTTTTACACCTACAGAAACATTAAAGACTAATATATTCGAGCATTTAATTAATGAATGAATATGTCATACAATTACATCGAGTAATTTCAATTTCAAAACTTAAAACGTAAACGAAATCTCAGATCTATCAAGGCGAGACGATACATTTTAGTATTGCCATTGCTTGGATGTTAAAAGTTTATTTTTGATAGAATTACCATGTAGGACCTAAACACATAACTATAAGCCTTATAGTTATGTGTAAGTACCTTATAGTATAAGGTGCATAAAGCATGTATAACAAAGTAAAAATATGTACACAGGGTGGGCTTACAAAGTGTACGGTAAATTTTCCACGAGGATGGTCACCCCAACCGATATCCCGTATCGATCGCGAGTGAGACAACAAAGAAGCAGTGTATTGCCACCCTGCTCGCGTTTGTCGCATAAACATGAAAACACGACCTTATTTACCGGCACACACAGCTAAAATACACAGGAAAATACAAAAATCTACGTCAGAGGATTAAAAATTACGTAAAACTGTTTTTAATTAGCAGCTAGTGTGTTAATCCATTGAAAATGTAGTGAGATAGTGTGAAATTGGCATTATTATCGAAAGTGCTGTTAATTCGTAAATACCCTGCGCTGCGACGATGGTGAGTTATCTAATTTATTATTTTATTGTAGATACCTTAGTTCTATTTTCTCTTTGTGGTGCCTATAGGAAAATTCTTGATAATTAATCGAGTAATTAAAAGGACAATTAGTATAATATTTTGGGAACACTGAAACCTTTTGTCTAAATAATTTGTTAATACGATCTTTGTTTTTCCAATTATAGTTTTCCTTTTTAAATAGAAATAGAAATTTATTCGCAGGAACATGTGATACAATGGATCTTAATCTAATTTTCAAACAGTACAGTGTATTCCACCTTTTCCAGGCATGCAAATGTTTGTTTATAAGGCACTTTAATAATATAGAATATAAATCTAATTTCATTGATTAATTATTACGTAATGTCAAAATACTGATTCCAAAATGTCAAATTAATTTTTAAATACATGTCAAGGCATACATTATGTCATTTATGTCTGTAAAATTACATGTCATAATATTAAAATCTATTTCGTTCTACAATTCCATAGTCAATGAAGTCTTTAATACTGTAAAAACATTTTTCAATTAGCCATGCTTTCAACTTAATTCTAAATTGACGCAAAGGTAGTTCTCTAATAGATCGAGGAATTTTATTATATACTCTAATTGCCATTATTGCACAATTTGCCATAAAGAGTACTGCGACAATTATCCATTTTTAGTTTGGATGCATCTCGTTGTAAATGCTTACTATCTTCATTCACTCTATTAAACAAGTTATAATTTCTCACAAACATACCAATCTCAAAAATATACAGAGATGCCAAAGTCATAACGCTCAGCTTTATGAAAAGCGGTTTGCATGTCTCTAATGGTCCTACTCCACATATAGCCCTAATGCATTTTTTCTGAACTATGAATGCTCTGTCTATATCACATGAATTGCCCCACAACAACAGGCCATACCTTAACACAGAGTTCACGTAACCGTGATATGCCAATAGCGCTGAGCTTTCATTTGTCGTTTTGCGTAGTTGCCTAAGTGCATACACAAATCTATTTAATTTCTTGCAGACATTTTCTACGTGTAGTTTCCAATTACAGTTTTCGTCTAGCATAATACCCAAGAATTTAATATTGTTATCTTTAGAGACAGATTGACCTGAATAACTGATATTTAGCCTGGGTGGTTTACGCTTATAATTAGCAAACTGAACATATTTAGTTTTGGAGACATTAATTTCCAAATCATTGTCCTGAAGCCAGTGTATAATGGCCTCCAGTCTCATTTATTTCCTGCTCGTAAGGTTTTACTTTTACTTTTCCTGTGTCGGACACCACAACAGATATATCACCAGCAAAGAGGACACATTTTTTATCGGTAATATTAGGCAAGTCATTAATATACAAAAGGAATAAAAGCGGTCCGAGGACGCTTCCCTGTGGTACGCCTGTTCCATTCATTTTAATCGAGGATTTGTGAGATACTGAGACTAATTTTTCGTTAACTCGAGAAATCTCCACGTACTGCGTTCTATTGGTTAAGTAACTACGCAACCAATCTTGAGCCGGTCCGCGGATACCATACCGATCACATTTATCCAGCAGTTTACTGTGATTGACTAGATCAAATGCCTTGCTCATGTCTAGAAAGAGTACAGTTACAGGTAATTTCTTGTCTATAGTTTGAGTGATAGAGCTTATCAGTGAGTATGCAGCGAGTGTGGTAGATTTACCAGCTTGAAATCCATTTTGTTCTTTCTTTTAACATCAAATTTATTAAGAAATTCCGTGAGTCGTCGATGCATTATTTTTTCATAGATTTTTGAAAAAATCGGTATCAAAGTTATTGGTCTATAATTAGTTAAATGCGAATGTGATTCTTTTTTATAAAGGGGTTTTACTATTGATATTTTTAAATTATCGGGAAAACACCTTCTGACAGTGAGATATTAATAAGGTAAGACAAAACAGAGGATATTTCATTAATACATGACTTCAGCACCACTGTAGAAACCTCATCGTAGCCAACTGACTTTTTATTTTTAAGGAATTGTATAATTGTTGCTACTTCGCGAGAAGAACACGGTCTGAGAAATATACTTGAGTTAATTCTATCCAAAGTTGTGTTAAGATGATCTTTAGTGCTTCTAGTGGCATACATATCCTTATTTTTTGACACATCAATAAAAAAATCGTTAAATGCATTTGCTATTTGAGATGGTCTGTCCACAATCTGTCCATTCTGTATTATTCTATTTATCTGCGTATGTGTTCGTAGTGAATCAGCTTTATTTTGAATAATATTCCACGTAGCTTTATTTTTATTTTAGCCTTACAAATATAATTAGAGTTCGCATTTTTTTTCGATAACGTAACACAGTTTTTCAATATTTTATTGTATTTTGTATATTTATTTCTGAGACTATTACAACCAGTTTTTAAATTACATAACAATTTCAACCGTCTCTTATAAACACTAGACGTTCTTATGCCTTTCGTGATCCATTTAGGTGTACCGGTATTTGCATATATTTTTACTTTGCGAACAGGAAAACACAGATTATAAAATAATAAAAAAACTTCATGAAAACTGCTAAAGGCCTCATTTGCACTTTCAATATTGTAAATATGTGACCATGATAAGCTTTGTAATGCACCTTTAAACTTCACTATATTTTCATTGGCGTAATCCCTAACATAAGTGTACCAATATTTAAAATAGGGTTTTCTGTCAAGTATAGGGAACGTCAAAGTTTGGCCCGTGTTATGATCCGAGAGACAAAGTTCATGTGTTCTACCCACGGCTTCCTCCATGTTACTGAAAATATGGTCAATACATGAAGATTTTCGGGTGGGTGAGTTTATGTGTAGGGTAAAGTTGTAGTTGAGTAATATTTCTTTCAACTTTACGGAGTCCACGGTGTTTTTTAAAGTGTCTATATTTATATCTCCCGCCAGTATAACACGTTTTCTTCTATGTGTTGATAGTCTATGCAATAGTAACTCTAATCTTCTAAAAAAAACGCAACGCTTGAGTTTGGCACCCTGTACATGCAAACTATAATGCACGCAAAGGAAACAATTTCGATTGCGCAACATTCAAATACCTTTTCCATAGTTAGGTCTTGTAAGTCAATATTTTTTGTTATTAATGTTTTATGCACCAAGATACAAGAACCACGTCTTTCCCTATTTCTAGAAAAAGCACTTACAAGTTTGAACTTTTTGAAATTAATATTAGGTTCATCACCCGATTTTACAAACGTTTCAGTTAGACAAACAATATCAATATTTACTCTATATTTACGAGCTAATTCGTCAAAACAAACTTCAATATAATCTGTTTTATTTAACAAGCCAGCTATGTTTTGATGGAATAATGTTGCTGTGTTTGAATCTCCTAAAAAATTGTCACAGAAAAAACTGAGTAGGTTCGTCAATTTGTTGGTTCGCATTTACCACAAGTTTGTTAGTCCATCAATTCGTGTAATATTTCATTTATAAAAAATGTACATCCTTGAAAATTACTTCCATACCGTGGTTGCTCAGTGCACCCGTACGAGTAAATGAGCTATAGTCGCATGAAAGACTTTTATTTGAGTCGAAGAAATAAGCATGCTCGTAAGTGGCAATATCCCGATACAGTAAGTTATTAAAGATTTCCACCCGGCAGTTATATAGGTTAGTATGGTAGCCGTATTTATAAGTGGGTGTACAGATAATAATATTAGTATGCATAATATTTTGTAACTCCTCTCTCACATCAGAAACAATATCGTAGTACTCGTGGGTAGTAGTAAAAATTTCTTCACCAATTAGTAAAATGCAAAAGTCATTTAGTGAGAAATCTTGTAGTTTTGATTTCATATTGCGTACTATCTGTTTTATATTATTATTTGTCATTAAGTAATGACATATATTGTAGTTTTTGTCACTGAATGTGTTTTTTAATATAGACAATATATTATTCTTGTTATTATTACTAAATACATGAATCTTGTTTACTGTTTTAAACTCGACGTTAGACTGAACTTTTACCACTTCATTTTGATGTTGTTTTTGCATGCTGGCCGATTTTAATGATGAACGAGTAGCACTTAACTGTGGTCCTATTTCTTTTCTGGTGACGAACTCCCAGCGCCATCTCTTGACAGATTATTAAAATCATCCGTAAGTCCAAGGTCTGTGGTACTTGTGTTCATTTGTGTTATCGATGATCTGCCATTGTTACAGTTAGGATTTTTCTTTTTCCTACTAGTAGATTTTAGAGGGCCTGATAAGATTTTTTGTAAATTTTTATTATTACATTTTTGCCTGGCCAATGAATTTTTCAAAGTCATATTCTCCTCAGATAGTCTCTCAATCTCGAGATGTGCGCTCTCTAGCTCATTCTGAAGCTTTATTATTTCTTCTTTTAAATATACCATGTCACAGTCACATCTTGTAGAAAGGTCCGGTAAGCTAAGTCTTCTGACTTCAGAATGAGTGGATCCAAAGGAAAGATCTAGTGATTCATTGGCCAATGTTTTGTATCGACGTATAGTTACATTTTCGTCTTCCATTTTATAGTCTGATGATATGTTGAATAATCAGATTTTTAGTCGATTAATCGATATCTGTCATCTGACTCAAAAGACTCGTATCCAGTTACTATAAACGTTTCCGAACGAGCAAAACTTTGACTTAATTGACCTTGATGTTGTTTGATTGGTTGTTATTAATAATGAGTCAGCTGATGATTGTTTACAAAAGGCTTTTTGAATAAGAACGGTTTTAAAAGTTAATTTCACTTTATTATTTCACTAATTTCGAGTGTACTAGTCTCGACTTACTTACTATGAGTGTAGCTGTTGTAAGTAACGTCCCATTAGTGTGTGATACACTGGTCTGTTTGTTCTTTCTCACTCAGTTCACTTGGGATCTTGAATGTTGTTTTTTTCGTTTGAACTACTTAGTATTTCACTCTCACTACGATTTCACTACTACAATACGTGAAGCCGAGTATTTATAGCAGCTATTTTATGCAATCGGAACTCAGTAAAAAAAAAAAAAAAAAAAAAAAAAAAAAAAATAAAAAAAAAAAAAAAAAAAAAAATTATTAATATTTTCTTGGTGACTGTGGCCTAGTTCTGCTTAACGTGAACTACTCATAATAATTATGACGTTTCTTTGTATGAAAATAATTACGTTCATCAAATATTATACCTACCTTGAATAATCAAAAAGAAAATTAAAACATTCATCAGAAAGAAAATTTAATGTACTCACTCGTAAATAGATACCCAGGTATTATGTAAATGAAACATGAAAGTCATCTCATGTTACTATGTAATTTTCTATCACTGCTGTTGATAAGATAACTGTAATTTTCCTCTTTGAAACGACAGTCATATAATCAGAGCTTTATCTCCTAAACATACGATAGAGCCCTAAAAGCTGCTGAAAACATTGATAGTAGTACTAAAAAGGATTATTATAGTTACATGTTTATCAATCAATAGTTTACATAATGTTTCTTTACATTAATTGTACAAGGCAGAAAATGATTTACCTACTTGTAATTTGATACCAAGAATTTGGTGAGGACCTCAGTCTTTCTTGAAAAGATACCCTGGTCAATGTAAGGAATAGAAGAATTGTATTAATTATTGAAGGAAATTACTATTTTCTTTATAGAGACACGAAGATGACTGAACGAAGTGAGCGGAGCAAGATGAGCAAGGCTCTGAGCGCGTTCAGCGGCGGGGAGGCGTGTGGAGCGCGATGGACCCTTGGAGCACTCCTCCTAGCTCCCCTTGCCGCTGCCAACTCCAGCTACTGCGCTGTTCCTGCAGTCATGCTCCTTGCAATCTTCATCACTATTGCCAGTACGACAAAGTTTTCTTCTTGTATACCACAAATCTAGTATTCATCTTACTTAAATTATGATAAATCTTTGCAGCCTTCACATGCAAAGACCTCAAAAAGCTAGCGGAGATACTTCCACCACCAAAAACATCTAGAGGCCGTCGCGAGCGCAATTTACGCTCTTTCGCAGATTTCATGGCAATGTGGATGACTTTCCTCTCCCATTTGGTGGCTGTCGCAATCTGTGCTCGTATTCTGAGCGCCACAGCTGATCATGTGACTGGTGGTCGAACTAGAAGATGGTTGTTTGGTTATGAAACTCGAGCACTTGGGGAACCCTGGCCTGACGTGCTCGGAGTCACCGTCGTCATGGTCGTTTGTGCCATGTTCATGTGCGGCTTGGAGGTAAGTGTCATTCATTGTACAAAAACGCTTTTGCTATCACTGTTACATAACTTAAGCGAGGTTTTGCCTATCGTGTCGTGTTGCAACGTAAATAAATCTTGAAGTTTTATAGATTATTATAATCGATACAGTTTTAATTGGATCACAGGCAGCGATATTACAAAACTCGAAATGGAGATAAGTGTAACAAAGATACAGAACAATGTAATTTATTAACTACGTTACTACCTACTATGTTAATTTATGACAATTTGGTTTCAGGAAAGCATGATGTTTACCTTCATGCTTTTAATCCTTTTATACATCTTCAGCCAGTTCTTTGCTATTTTCGGTCTTATCAACTTCGATATAGCCAACATCAATATGCCGATACCAATCACCGTGTATGAAGTAAGCAAATACAAAACACGCATATTATTACAAATGTAACTATCTACGACGTAAATAAAAATATCGTTCAATATTTTCAGTTGTTCGCAGCTGGTGCACCAATATCCTACGCTTTCAATGTAATACTCCCGAAAGAAAAAGGTGCCTTAAAGAAAAATCTTTTCCTCATGATCGGACTACCCACCATAGTTCTCTCAGGATTATGTTTCCTCTACACTAATATGCTAAAAGGGTAAGTTGATATATTGTTCTAGAACTGAATAATTTGTCATCAGATTCGCTATTTCATGTAGGTTGTTGTACTAACCAACTAAACGTTGTATCTAACATTTCATCTTATTACTATCAATGTACGTAATAATGGGTAATAATACGTATCTGTTTACATCCTCGTTTGTTCATGTTACAGGAACAGCATCGACGCAGCTCTGCCGGTGACCACACTGCTGGAGGCGAGGGCCGCGGGCTGGGTCTGTCCAGTGCTAGCTGCTGTAACCGTCGCCGGCATCTGCCTCGCCTTGACCGAGCTCTGTCCGTTACTCTTCACTGTCCTAGTAGCTCTAGCCTCACCCGAATGGAAGGTGCTTACTAGGTCAATGACTTACGAGAGTACTACTACCGGCAGTCCAGTTCTAGCTGTATTTACTGCCGGTTCGTATGAAATAATGCTAATTACACATTGCATACCTAACCAAATTACGAGGTTTTAAGCAATATTAGCTTCTCAGTCGAGTGTCGACGTTTTGTCAATTGGTAATAACGAGCGAATAAATCAGGGATGATGTCATTTAGCAACCCAACCGCGATACTCTGTAGGATAACTGGTTATCGCTTAATCACGTAACTGCTAACTAGAATTATCAAATTACAGACCTGATTCACATTTGTGTGGGTGAAGCCTTAATTGATGTATTATTTACAGGAAGTTTGGCAGCGATACTTGCGTTTGCGTGCCCCTTATCACATATGATCACTCTAATGAATGCGAGCCACTTGCTTGGGATATCGATACAAGCCTTACATTTTATTATAATGAGGTGTGTGCCAACAGCTGAACAGAAAGAAGCTGGAGGTATGTATACTCCAAAACCTTTACTTAACCACAACTAGGTGTAACAGTTCTATAACATTAGTTATGTTACAGATATTGAATACAAACGTTTAGGAAGAGAAGCGGCTAGAGGATCGAAAGCGTCTGGAAGTAAGGCCAAGCGGTCGGGGCTTTGGTTCATTCCATCTGCTATTCGCCACACCAAAACTCTGGAGAGTATCAAGTCTAAAGTAACAACTAAAGGTACCTGCATACAATTAGTGGTAACATATTTTCCTCTGCTTTATCACTGATCTTGAAGCGACCTTTCTTAATACTTGATTGTCAATCTTTAAATTAAGGTCTATTCTTGCTTGACCAGAAGTATTTTCTACAACTTCTTTAACTGTCTACCTGAATTCTATATCAGCCCCAATTCTTCTTTTCAGAAACTGAGGAACGAGAGTGCCTTCTTCTAGATGAGTATGCAGGATGTCCTACAGAAGAGAATGATCCAACCAGCAGCAGCAGTGGTGTGCCTATGGCCACGGCTGAGGTGGACGTAGTATCTGATGGTGAAGCCAGTGAGCAGGAGATGTCTTCGGGTGATGACTCCACCGATATTGATGCAGTCGTGAAGGAATATAGAGATAGGATACAAGTAAGATACCTAATGGATTCTACACTATACCTTTTCGACCTTCGCTACGATGAAATTAATAACATAACTAAAAATAGCATTTACCTACCTGAAAGGCATTGCAACTTTTTACATCGATGCCCTTACGGAAAATTATTAGTGTACCTAATCTGCAAAAAATGGTTCAACGTGTTCTCTAGTTTTTGCTTTTTATCAGACACATCCAATATTTCTTCTGTGTTGTGGAGAATTCTTAGTTTATTCAGGTATAGTTTTAATAAAAAGGTATTTATAATCATTTATCGTGATAGAAAAATACCTTTAAAAAAATCTCTGTAGTAGCACGGAGTCTGGAATTGTGCCCGGTATATGCAATAGGCTCACCCCCTATTACATGGGACTCATAACATAAATAGTGAAAAGTGGGTGTTACTTCTGCGTGCACCTCTGTCTTCCCCTTCGGGGATAAAAGGCGTGATGTTATGTTATGTTATGAAAAATATCTGCTTTATTTATAATCTTTTACTTTTAAGCAAATAAATTTTCCTCTTTCCTCTAAGGTGGTAACTTCAGTCCCCGAGTCTAGCACTCCATCTCCGCCGTGTGTGCGCGGCTCACGCTGGTCGGCAGCTGGTGCTGGGGTGCAGCTGGTAGCTGATGCTATTATCGCAGTCGCCTTCTGCAACGAAACTGTCAGACTGCCTATGTTCGCTATTGGAATACCACGTAAGGTTTTTTTTATGGATTAGCCGGTAAACGAGCAGACGGATCACCTGATGGTAAGCGATCGGCGTTACCCATGAACACTGGAACACTAAAGGCGTTATAAGTGCGTTACGCGCCTATTGGATATTAGAATTTGAGGATTGTTGGGAATTCAGAGATTGGGTATATTTTAAATTTAATGGGAGAAATTAGATTAATTAATAGATTAATAAGATGATCTTGAATTTCTATATTTATATTAATATTAATTTCTTTTTTTAGAGCGGGGTATAGATTATATTTATATTCATTTGGGGAAGGGGTGGAGGCGGTAATTGGCCCTCGCAGTAACAGTCTCTCACACGACGAAACACGAAACGCCACGCAAGCTTTGTTTTACGTCAGTTTTTTGTGAGGCCATGCCGAAGCATGGCTCTCCCACACTTAAAGTGACGTCATAACAGACCTCAAAAAAATTACTGATAATAAATTGGCCATGACGTTCTACCAATAATTTCTCTAGAACAAGCCTATCTAAGAGCATAGACGAAAAAATAATTTCAGTTAATTTCTTTTCGCTTCTATTGCAGTGTGGCTCACGGGTACCTTCATATGCGCGTGGCAACCCGCTCATAACTTGGGTATGAGGAAAGCGCAAAGTATTCAAGGTCCCATAACTATGCTGACTGCTCTTCTGTTCCTTACTCCGTTACTCGTCGATTCTTGGCCAGCTATCACGCTGTTCGCAGGCGCTGGTAAGCACAATTCACTTCAGAAACTGAACATTTTATACCGTACCTAGTTTATTACGAAAATCATAAATTAAACACAGTAACAAAACTTAGTACTAGAATATCAATGACCTTGTTGGTTAAGTGGGCACAAGCGTGACTCTGGTGGGTCTGGGATTTGATATCCGGATCAAGCTACCGTCCAATGTCCATCATCATCTTTTTTGTACTTATTTTTCAGGTGTAGTAATTTACGCTCGTTGTGAACGTTGGTGCGGAGACCTGGCTGTGCAGCAAGCGCGCAGTGCTATGGAGAGACGCAAGTTGAGGCCTGTGTCAGCAACGGTCCCTCTTACTGGAGCCCGCCTGACCCATATAGACACTGTGTATATAGCCAGGTACTTATATAACCACAGAACATTATATATAACACTAGCTACTTCCGTGCGGCACCTAGGTACTTAGTAATTATGATCAATAGGTGCCGCACGCAGTGACGCTATAGCCTTTCTCGCTACAGAGACTAGACTATAGCCTTTCTCGATAAACAGGCTATCCAACATAAAAAGATTTATCAAATCTAACGAGTAATACCTGAGTTCGTTAAAACAAACAAACAAACTCATCAGCTTTTGAATAAGTACGTATACAACATTCATCAATAACTAATTTACCTCATTAATTAAAGACTATAAACGGACCCAAGCAACCACAAACCATAGACCAAGTGCCTGTGATACCTAGCAAACCATTATTGGACTATAGGCTTCCTCAGACCGGACAGGACTTTACACATGAGGACCTGCCAATCAACTTTTATCTATTTTCAGATGACATGAAGATGACTCGGATACGAGTCTGGATAATCTATTAGACGCGGAGGATGAAGACCCTGACGGCGAATGACAACAGGCTGAGGCCATTATCATCATCGCCCCATAATCATCAACATTGTGATTATTTGTGATTTCAGTTTATAAGGACACAAATTGAATCAGCTGGATCATCACGTTGATTCTATCCATTTTTGTGCAATCTTAGAGAATTTGTCATTTTGCCGTAATTCGAAGGATAGAAAAACCGTTGTTGTGCTACTATATAGCTAGCTAGGTGTTAGAAAACTATAAAATTGTGTACTTAACGTTTGCGAGGATGTGCTAAATTAATTGTTAATAATTGGTACTTATCTAAATGTAGTCAGTCAAAGTTGGTTTGGACCAGACTGGCCACAAAAATAGCAGCAGAGGGCTGTCAGGAGCTCGTAGGTTTCATAACAAAATTTCATCTGGCTCCCTATTTCGGCCGATCCTATGAACCCACGTGTATAATTTTATATAATGATGTTGGGTACCTACCAAGTTAAAATGAGAGATTAGGATTTAAAAAATGGTTCAAGTCTATCTATATTTTGTGGTTCCAAAACGGAGATCATGAACATGTACCCTGAATAATCCAGTTCATGTAAAAATTATGTGAGTACCTACTCTAGTGCCTAGAAAATGTTGAAATTTGTTCATGCTAGCTGTTTATAGCTTTTGGATATTTTAAGTCCCACTTATTAGGGACATTTGATCGTACACAAATTTTTACAACTAATGCTAGCTTGGTGCGTTTTCTAAATTGAATCATGTAGGTGTGTAAATAAAATACGTTTTTAAATGTCGTAACAACTTCATCCGTCCATCCGCCATTGCCACGTCGGCACGCTTAGCCTGATGCAATTAATCACGTGTAAGTACTTAATAAATTATAAGAAAAAAAACTTGTATTTTTTCACTTAAAATTCGAGTTAGATTAAAATAAAATTGTAGATAAACTGAACAAGTTAAAAGAAATCTAAATGTCGCATTTTAAAAATAATAGAATACTAATATGTTTATAATAATAATACAATTTGCAGTTATGATTAGCTTTGCTTACTATTGTAAGCAAATCGGCCTACACGATGTTATAAGAATAGGAATGATCGTGATTAATTTAGCAATAAAAATGCTGGTTCGCATCACCTTTGTTTTATTTCATAGCAATCATTAACAAGCAACATTAATATAAGCATTATTTTTCTAGCAGGTGCATTCTATACACCTCTTCAGATTCCTTGTCTTCGAATCTAGGGCTGAATGGTACATCAATCACTTCTTTAAACCCTTCGTTGACTGATGGCTCTACATATTTGTTCCTGTAATAAAAGTTATGTATATATCACAGTGAATCAGAACAAAGGGCACGGTACATAATATATTATATATCAAACTGCATTTGAACAAAACAAGAATAAAAAAATATTTTAAAATTGTTAAAATAAAGTAATAAACAAATGGAGATAACAGTAAAGTCAATTGTTGCCAGGGTTATTAGATGTTCCTAGGGACATTATGCCGAAATCCAGACTTGTCCTATTACTGAGAGTATAGAAATTGATAGCAGAGTCACTTGCAAAACATCGAAAACGTCGTCGACTCGGCATTCCCGATTCGGGGAATATTAATCTCAACAAGATATGATTTAAAAAAGGAACAATTGTACTGTCATACCCAGGCATATTGAATGTACTCACTTGTATGTATGATAAACAATATCGTTGACTGGAATGTGGTTGACTTTCATAAGTTCTCGAAACTTGTTGTTATGTTTCGCATGAGCTATAGTAGTCGCCATCTTTGCACAACGGCAGCTCACCTTCTTCTCTTTGGCCAGTGACACCCAGCGGGCGCGAGATTCTTTGTCAGGGTTTGTACTGTCTACTATTACACTTTTACCTCTCTGAAATAAAAAAAAACAATGAGTAAAAAACATCTACTACAGAAGTACATACACAAGATGCCCGTCTCAAGTTTTTATGTCATTGTTAGATATCTCTTTAATGTTAATTGAATTTTGAGAAATAATTTATTAATTATTTCATAATTTATTATTTATATTTTAATAATTTATTATTTATATTTTTAATACATTAATTTTCTAGTGCAGCATTGTTTGTATATGTTATGACATGTTTTAACTTGTAACAAGTGAATGAAAACTATTAAAAAACAAGTAATTAGGTATTTGTTTTAGACTGTTTCTATTCTATTTCTAATTTATTTTCTATAGGAAATTAATGAATAGGAAGTCTTCTTTCTGGTATCTTTCGTTTTGATAAGCTGATAATAATTTATTTAAAGTACTTACTTAAAAGTAAATGAAGTATTAGTATAAAATATAAACAAAAATACCTCAAGTAGCTTAGTGGCTTCAGCTGCACATTTCTGCCAGGAACCAAGAACATCTCTACACACAGTGGCATAGTTGTATCCGGACTCCTTTTCAATATGTTTAGCCAAAGATGATTTACCACTACCAGGGAACCCAACTAAAACCAGTATCTGTAAAAAAAAAATTGGTTGCCTGTAAAGTCGGTATACGGGCGAAAGTTTTACGTGACAACGACTTTGAGTGGTAAAATAATTTTAATTTAATGTGAATATTCATTCGTATAGTAGGAAGAAGGATGAAATAATAGTAACTATCTACTATCTCTCTCACTCTCTCTCTCTCTCGCTCTGTCTCTCTCGCTCTTAGGCGGGCTAACTGTGCTCGAGTGGAAGGGACGCGTGCCTTTCACTTTTTATGTCTGTCTCTCTCGCTCTTAGGCGGGCTAACCATGCCCGAGTGGAAGGGACGCGTGCCTCTCACTCGCTCTCATTGTGAGCGCACAACGTGAGCGGAGCGTAACGCAGTTTCTTGAAGTGCCACTCGGCAAACCAATTTATAAGACGTTGTCACGTCAAAAGATCATTCGGTTAAAAATACCTTCACAGAAACCAATAAGAAGTATTCTAGTTAGTTTTTGTGATAGGAAACTTACCTCTCTTTCCTTCCCTATTAGATTGTCTTTAAATGGTGTATTACCGAGTTCTTTGGGGTTAAAATCAGGTTTACCCATAGGTACATTGGCTATAGAGTGTCCTAAGAAGAATTGTTCCGGTGTATAGAACTTAAGATTTAGATTTTCAGCCATAAGTTTGTCTGCCATAGAATGATCCTTTTTCTTCCCAGGAGCCCAGTTAGCGAGTCTGCCTGCAGCATCACCGCAGTAGAAACTTTCATCCATATTTATTTTTATACCACCATTTTTCTGTAAATACAGAAAATTAAATGTTAAAAATGTTCTAAAATAATATTACAAATTAAATGTTCTTCTGTTTGTTTCTTACTTGTTCTGATAGCACTTTCCACATCCCAGTAGTTGGTTTCCTATAAAACCCTTTACCAGTAGCTATGTACACTTGAAATGGGACATCCAACTTAATTACTATATTCTCAATTTTTTTCTTAAAATCTTCTATTTTAACTCTCCCATTTCCTATTGGTGCTTGATTACTTAATATAACAAGTTTATAATTATCTTCTACATGTTCTTTTAACTTCTTTTGAACTGTTGGGAAAGCTATTTGCCAGTCGTTGGTATCAACAGGGTGTACTTTACCAGATTTTGTCTTTATTAAAGTGCCATCCATGTCAAAGGCCGCTATTTTGTGGCTAGGCTTGACACCTTTAGAGGTGAACACATACAATTCGCCTTTATCAATGTCTTCCCATACATTTTCTCCTGCAGGTTTGACTTTTACTTTATCAGTATCCATTTTAAGACTTTTTCTCTTTCTTGGGGACTCTTCTTCCTCTTCTAATTTCCTTTTATTACTTAATTTTGGTTCCTCATAGTTTTCTGGTGGTGGATCAAACTCTATGACATGAATATAGTTGTTTAACAAAATTTCAATTCTAGAACCATGTTCTACTTTATATTCTAGATTCCTTTTTAGGGCGAATCCATTTAAACCTGATGTATTTACTCCCAGTTGTTTGACTTCAACCAGGCACTCTTCACAGTCTGCTTTCAGAGAAACTGTAAAAAATTGCAATGATAACAACAGCAAAACTGAAAGTTTATTTGTGATTAAAAATTTACTTACGTTGCTGGCGAGAACATGCCTGGTCTTTAATATTGGTTAACTTGCTGCGCCCTATTATAGTTTCGATATTGTGGACTAATTTTATAGGCGCATGGGAATCCAGCAAACATTTTAAAAAACAAGAGCGAACTGTAGACCCCATGTAAGAAAATGTTGTCACTAAACAATATGTTAATGAGTGTTATTGAATTTAATTTCATAACGTTTTTAAAAATCAACAAACATTTTGGTTATTTTTATTTGACAATTTGACATTGATGATAGAATTTCAAAATGCACGTCAACTGTCATGTCAAGGGCAAAATCATTTGACAAATGATTACCGTTTTATTAATCAATGCAGCACAAGGCAACTTAACTGAATTTTATTTTCTTTTTAACTTGTTTTATTTTCTGTTTGTATTATATATTGGGTACTTCAATAAAGCTTATTTTCTGAAATAGAAGTTTCATTATCACTTTGCAGTTTTCTGAGTGAAACAACATTTTGTTTTGACGTCGTTTGACATCAATGATTATGTCAGCCGCTGTCAGTGTGCACTGACTGCGCTGTCAATCAAATGTCAATTTGTCTACAATCGTTTGTATTTGTGATGGCGAAAAGAGTGCTCGTACTATTTTAATCAATTTATACGATTTAATAAAGTATTTACGTACATATGAATGAATGGTCAAATATAAATTTCAAAATTTGTAACAGAGAACCGCTATTATTTTTTATAAATTGATTGATTGCAGGCAAAATTAAGGTTTGTGAACAGTTAGTAGAAAATCAAATTCAATGACGTGTATTTATTAGATTGGTAGTGTCATGTGGATTTATATTTTTCAATCAATTTCCAGGCAATACTTGCTGCAATCATGCCGATAACTAAGCGTAAACATTCACCTGAAAAGGAGGAATTAATTGAAAATGGTGACAATCTAACTGAGGGGCGCAGTAATATCAAGGGAGATGAATTCAATATAGCTGTGTTATTATTCCTTTACACCCTGCAGGGTATACCGCTCGGTCTTGCAGGAGCTGTACCCATGCTCCTTCAAAATCGTGGCATAACATATACTCAACAAGTAAGTATTTTTTATTCATGGTTTTTAATATTCACTACCGCTAATCGCTAGGAGGTACCTACATCATGGATTAACTCGTAAAATTTCCCATTATACGACTATGATATCTGTGAAATAGGAATGTAATTAAAAACTTAATGAACTTTTTATTGTTGTACTTTGTTGATTGCTAATTAATAAAGTATTTGATTTGAGCTAAAGTTGAAATTACAAATGCCTTGTATGTGATAATTTTTATTAATTACTTAATCAGAAACCAGAACTGGTTTTTAATGTTAACAAAACTTTTTTTCCTTATTTCTGTTGTTCTTATTGGTCATTGGAAAAAACAACATTATATTATTCAAATAAAAAACTTAAATTAAAAACTAACTATTACTTAAAAAAAAAAAAAAAAATTAAAACTAAATATTACTAAATTAAAACTAAAAAATTAAAACTAAATATTACTAAATTAAATACCTATATACAACTAAAGATTAAAATTAATTATAAGAAAAAACAAAAACAACTATTTACATAAAGCGTCGAAAAATTCGTCCGCATCGACGTCAGTGGGGAAAGTACCCAGAAGGCTGGCAGCATTGCCACGTTGTATGGCAATGCTTAGCCTCTGACCGAGAAAAAGACCAGCCCTCTGGTCACGAGATGTGTCAACCAGGCGTTTTGAAATGTTTTGGAACAATTTAAGTGCACTCGGACCCCACGGACCTAGCGTCTCAACCCCAAACGGCTCAAAGATATAACTACCAGCAAGGTTGTTATACTTGCGCCGCTTGAGGCTTTCTGCAGAGGCAGCAGCCGAACCAGCACAACCCGCCGTTACTGGAAGATGAGAAGGTGCAAGGGTGTCAACGCAGGTTGCGTCCCACACCAAAGACCTTCCCAGCTTCCAGGGCATAATGGACATACCGTCGGGTCTCTTACCATCGTCGCGTGCCAAACCCTTTGGTTCCAGAACAGTTGCTTTAAATTTTTATATTATTAAAAATTTAAAGCAACCCAACACTATGACTCCTATTTTTCCGTTCCAAATACCACCAGTACAAGAAATAAATTAACTGTTCAATCCCCAAGCGATCACCTGTGACCGCTCTCCACTAACTCCATTATAGAACTTATTTCTGAAGTTTAGGGCTACTTTTGCATAAATAAATTTGGGGTATGATATATCAAGATATTAATGTGAATAAAAATAATAAAATATGTAAAACAACAAAAGCTTATGTAAAACAAACAGGAAAAATATTCTCTAGGCGACACAACTTTTATTTACCACATCCGGGATGTTGAATATACAGACTATAGTTTTTATTACATTACTAATTGAGATTAATCTTACTGAACATGAAACTTTGTGATGCTGTGTTGATGTATGTTTGTTACTCTGAACTTGGAACGGACATAAATTATAATCTAGAATAAAATGTAGACTACTTTTATCTAACATAACATCACGCCTTTTTATCTCCGATGGGGTAGGCAGACGTGCACATTTCGGCGCTTAATGCCACTGTACAATGTAACACCCACTTTTCACTATTTATGTTATGAGTCCCATGTAATAGGGGGTGAGCCTTTTATCTATTAATATTTACTAATACATTTTGTAAAAATTCTTTTCAGGCGGAATTCAGTTTTGTCAACTGGCCGTTCAGTGTAAAGTTACTATGGGCGCCTATTGTAGATGCTCTATTCTGGCCGCAATTCGGTCGAAGAAAAACTTGGCTGGTACCAGTGCAATACCTGATTGGTATTGTGATGATCATCATGTCGTATAGTGTCACTGATTGGCTAGGTTCCGATGATGTGCCACCTTCAATGACTATTCTGACTATGTCGTTCCTTTTCCTGAACTTCTTGGCAGCTACGCAAGATATTGCTGTGGATGGATGGGCTCTTACCATGCTTAAAAGGTAAAGTAAGATTAAAGTATTGGTGAAATTTTAATTAAATATACCAGTAGTATACTGTATCATAGTTAGATAGTTGCGTTTCAAATGGCTTGTATAGCTTATCAGTGTTACGGATGAGTGATAATAATTACTTACAAGCTCTAATCAGTATCACTTCTAAAACTATGAGATAGCAAAAATTTAATCCTTACTAATATTATAAATCGGAAAGTGAGTTTGTTTGTTTGTTCCGCTTTCACGCAACTACTAAACCGATTGCTTTAAATTTTTACAGACGTAAAGTTATAAGTCTGGATTAAATAATAGGGTACTTTTTATCCCGGAAAAATTTGATATTCTAGAGAGAAAACGAAATTATTGGTATAGATGGCGCTGTGTGTATTGGTATATGTCACTGGCTTTTTATCCTTTTGTGACGTGACCGAAGCCGCGGGTAAAAGCTAGTTGTTAATAAATTAGCAAGCAAGCTATCACAACATGTTGCGACTTCAATTTCACTTTCGACAAGTGAATAATGTTCATACATTTGCCATATGAGAAGACGCTTATACTCAACAGTGGGACAGTTGACAAGTTAATATCAACATTAACCTTGTAATTTCCAGATGCAATGTCGGCCATGCCTCAACCTGTAATACTGTCGGTCAGACAGCTGGCTTCTTCCTCGGATATGTAATGTTCCTGGCTTTAGAATCTCCTTACTTCTGCAACAAGTACTTGTACTATGAGCCTCAAGACGAAGGACTTGTGACACTGGCTAGTTTCCTTCTCTTCTGGGGATGGGTGTTCATTGTGACTACTACGTTGATAGCGGTGTTCAAACATGAGGCTAATGATGCTCCGAACACAAAGGATAATGATGTGAAGGGACTGAGTGATGTTGTTACGGCTTACAAACAGTTGTATACAATTATGAAGCTGCCTGCAGTACGTACACTGGCTCTGGTGTTGTTCACGGCGAAGGTAAATTTTTATTTTAAAAAATAGAGGTTTTTAATCACCTAAAAATCGTGGGTTATTCGTGGATATACTGAGAAAACCTCTACTAAACAATTTATATTCGCGTGGGTAACCCGCAATTTTAGTTAGTTTAATGCGCCTTACGATAGTTATTATAGAAAATATAGATAATTCTATCCAGTTTGATTTGTATGTATGCTTGAATGTTTGTGCACTCAGCTGAACCGATTTTGAAGTGTTTGTGTACACAAAAAGGTTTTAGTATATGAATTAACCGATTTAAAAAAAGAGGAGGTTGAAGTCGGTTTGTTTGAACGTAGTTTATAAAATATTTATTTGTTATTTCTAATCCTTGTCCTCTTGTTTTAAAATAATTTTAGATGGTTAATTATTATAAGTTTTCTCTATGAAAAATAATTTAGTATTCTTTTTTAATAATATTATTTGTATAAGTGCATCTAAAGAGATAATAAACTATCCCTTATTTTGTAATCTAATTGTTAAATGTTTGCAGCTCGGATTCTGTGCCAGTGATGCCGTGTCTGGGTTAAAACTTGTCGAAGCTGGAGTTCCGAGGGAAGACTTAGCTCTACTTGCAGTTCCATTAGTTCCAGTACAAATCATAATGCCAGTGGTGAGTACTTTTTTCTTATTTTTTGGCTATTTTTAAATGTGTATGATTATAAAGTGGTTAGAACTTTAGTCAATATATGTAGTTGTACTCATTATTAGATAAAACTCCGCTTATGTTTCATGGAGGTACACAAAAAAACACAGTAGGTATGCTACCACTAAAGCTTCAATCCAATTGGATTTGATTTGCATGAATTCATGCATCTAGTATTCATTCAATGTCGCGGAGAATGTAAAGGGTTACCGGCTCGACGTGCAGGAGAAAGAACGGAATGGTTTTTAGTCAGTAAGAGTCTGACACTCCCTCCGGCCTCGCCCAGGCGAGAGCAGTAATTCAATGATTTTCCCTCCTTAAAAAAAGAGTATTTATTCAGTATCTTTCCAATTGGATTATTCCTGGTAGTTCTCATATTAGTGTCCACATACAATAAATTAGAATTATTAAAATACTAACTTTTACCCGCGGCTTCGCTCGCGTCACAAAAGGATAAAAAGCCAATGTGACATATACAAATACACACAGCGCCATCTATACCAATACTTTTGTTACCAAATTTTTCCGGAATAAAAAATACCCTATTACCCTAGACTTCTAACTATACATCTGCAAAAATTCAAAGCAATCGGTTTGGTAGTTACGGCGTTAAAGTGGATCAAACAAACAAACATAAAAACAAACTCACTTTCCGATTTATAATATAAGTAAGGATTTATAACACGCTTCATATTATTATTTCAGTTGTTAGCAAAGCACACGACGGGTCGTGAGCCACTGTCCCTGTGGCTGCGTGCGTTCCCGCTGCGTCTACTGGTGGGGCCCCTCGCGGCGGCCCTGGTGGCTATCACTCCCACGCTGCTGCAAAATGCGCCCCCCTCTTACTCGTATCTATTCATTTTAATGATGCTCTACATATTCCATCAGGTATGTAAACCTTATTTCAGTAACATAATTACATAACATCACTCTTTTCATCCCCAAAGGGGTAGGCAGAGCTGCACTTAATACCACTGTACAATGTAACACCTACTTTTCACTATTTATGTTATGAAGGGGTGAGGCTATTGCCATATACCGAGCATGATCACACACTCCGTGCTACTACTGAGAATTTTTACAACCCCCATACGTTGGCCTACCCGGAAATCGAACCTAAGACCCCAAGTCGCACTTGGGACCACTTGGCCAACGAGGCAGTCGGTTCAGTAACATTTAGCAACTTTATTGATAACATAACTATTAATAATAAGTTGAAAAATAAACACAGTAAACTTGAAAGTAAGTAAAAACTCAAGGAATTTTGTAAAAGCTAGAAACTCAAAAGAGTTTTTAATGATGTCATGTATAATGTATTACCATCTGGCGTCTTTTTCATTATTACAAAAAAGTCAGATACATAAATCGTAAATTAAGTGACACAGATCATCTGTGTTTTATGGATTCCTTGCCCTCCTTGGTTTTTAATGCATAAGTAATTGTTTTCATATTGTATTTACTTCATTTACAGACATGTCTCTACTGCATGTTCGTGGCTGTGATGGCGTTCTTTGCTAAAGTATCAGACCCAGCAGTTGGTGGGACCTACATGACCTTCCTCAACACAATGTCGAACCTGGGAACTAATTGGCCTAACACCCTCGCTCTATGGGCTATAGACCACCTCACTTTTAAGCAATGCTCATATTCAGGGCTCACTGATAACACATGTTCTTCTGATGGCGAGGAGACTGTAAGTAAAACAGGTTATTTCTTACTTAATGAAGGCTATTGTTTTTTGTTCACTAGATGGCAGTAATATAGCTGATGGTCGTTTTTGTCCAATCACTGTTGGTGTCAAAAATGGAATGTTCAAAGCATCGACATATACTAATGGACATGCCTTAGAGATGAGAATTGTAGCACTCCGAAAGAAAGAGAGGAAACGAAGTTTCGGTCTATCTTTATCTCTCTCAAAAGTACCGTAGTTAAGACGTTATAAGCGGGAAAGAGATAGCGCTAGACCGAAAGCATAGGCTATCTCTCTCACTCTTTTCAGACCAATTAATTACTGCAGATTATACGCGTACGGCATGTCCATTACTTAGTATATATCGATGGTTCAAAGCTTGTCATCAGCCTGTTATATATTAACTACCTCAAGCTTCATAAAAAAACAGTAGCCCTATTTGCCCTCACCCACAGCGACTTTTTGTAGCGATGCTGTTGCACGTTCACTAAAAGCGTTACAGCATCGCTACTAACGCATGTTATTTTTATGTGCACTTTGCGACTGTATCGATGCAGATAAAATAGATGCAAATTGTCGCCGTGGGCGAGAGCCTTCATTTCTATCTATTTTACGATATGAAAACATTTTGGCAACAAAACATTACATATTTATAAATGAAATATAGCTGAAGTTTGTTTTGTTACATATTTATTTCCTATAATGAAAACGAGGAAATAAGTATTATTATGGCATAAAAATATGCATACAAGGAAATCTATATTATAAATTACGGTACAATTGCAGTATTAAATACACATGTAATTTAAAATAGCTGCTAGGAATAACCCAATAACAACATACATCCTTCAATAAATAACTCATATTTTTCCTCCTAGGAATGTAAGTCATTCGGCGGTACATGCAACGTGCGAATAGATGGATTCTACATAGAAACAGTACTATGTTTAGTCGTCGGCTTCGTTTGGCTCATGTGGGGCAAGCCAACCATCAACAAGCTCCAGCGACTACCCGCCTCAGCCTGGCAAATCAGCCGATTTAACAGATAAGACTGAATCTCGTTAATTCCCCATTTAATATAATAATATTATGTATATATTGTAAAGGTTTTCAGAGAAAAAGTCTTCTGATTACTCATACAGTACCTTTTCCTCAGAAAGTTACCTTAACTCATATTCCAGAGGAAATAATTAGTCATTACCTATGAAATTGCGCTTAACGCCATAAACGCTTAGCGATTCATGACGTAACTGTTTCGTTTTAGCAACTTTAAAATCTTATTGGCTATGCCTACCAGGGTCCTTAATTCCTTTCAGACATTCATGGTCGATATATTTTTTCTTCAGTAGTTTAGAAAGTTCTGCCCATAAATTGAAGCTTATGCTTTAAATTATAAGGATCAATTTAATGTGCAAGTCATAGTGCCTATGCGTGCCTAAGTCACAGTTACATCATTCTATTATTTAAAAAACTTAAATTTCATAGATAAAGACCTAATTAAACCTCGTTATTTAAACATGCTCAGATTCAAAGAATAATTAACTATATTTAATTAGTTTCTATAGTGATAAAGGTATCATCCTTAACTGTTTATTTAAATATATTAAAGTATTATTTGTTCCAGCCAACAGCACAAAAGCACTATTTATTCCAAGTGATTTCACAAATTTGTTTTTATATGCGGTCTGTTGAGCAGAGTGTTATTATGTTATTTCTTCTAAGGTTGCGATTAGTTATTAACACTTCTTATGATTATTTTTAACTTTTTAGTCTTTGCTATCTTATTTATTGGTGCTCTATTTTTCTAGTGTTTCTATTTACATATTATAATATGTTTTTATTATTTGGTTGTTATTCTATTGTTCTTCAACTATTTTCAAAAACATCATCTATCTTTCCAAACAGGCCTACTGGTGTTTTCTTGCCAGAAAAGATGCGTTTTCTTACCATTTTCATACTACCCTACATTTAAAACAATAAAAGACTAAATTTTCGTACTAAAAAACTTAGCTAAAGCTGAGTTGATGAAGTAGCCCCACTCTATAATATTATGTATATTTTAATAACTATGTATTTGTAACTTTATAAAGAGTGCAATTAGTAAAATAAAATGATTCCAATATTTGTGACAGTCTTGTATAATTTTTATATAAACGTCAATGACGTATATAGGTAGCTGTTAAGTAGTTTAAATTAGAATGAGGGCTTTTGTGATGCTGCAGGCGCTAGTGTAGTTTAAAGTCTGTTAACCAATGGAATATTCGCTAATGTAAAATCAAATCATTAACCATTTCAACTAGTAACAGCTACACTGATTGGAAGGGCCTTAGATCACTAGTGCCATCTCGTGAGCGCAAAGTGAAAACCCTCATACAGTTCGTTTAGTGAATATTATTTAGTTATTATATTATGTTGAATGTCTTTAGTTTAAAAATTGTTGTCTAATATATTGTAACGTCCATTTCATAACGAAGTATTAATTTAAAACGTACACCATCATGCATTTTAGTCGACAGTACAAATGATTGTTCTCACAATTTACTGTATATATTTTTATTTGTATGTATGTGATAACTTATGTAAATAAATACGAAGTACAGGGAGCAAAGGAAAAACAGTAATGACGTATTATTATAGTTTCTTTATGTACACATCAACACTTAAAATATACAATCTTTATAACAATGGTACTATAGTTCATTTCTATCTATGTAATTTGCGCCATAATTATTATATAATAAATCCATACATGTGATGATTAAGTATACAAGAGTAGGTACACTTTGTGCTAACTTGCAACTGTCATATATCTTCTATAATGATATATATTTAATCAAACATAACCAAGCATTTGGAAGAAACATTTCTAAATAGAAATTATGTGATAGAACTGAATTTATTCCATTAGGCATACAACATTTTGTGCACTCATACATTACAATAAAGCATCTTATACTGCAAAGAGATCTGGATTAACAATCACAAATATTTACTTTCACTTTACATAACATATGGACCCTATTTCATTAAGACACAACAGTCGCCCGACTAGTCGTACACCATATTCTCTACAGCTACCAAGAGGGGAACACCGAAACAAACTTTAGGGATGATTTTATCGCCCACAACAATATGGTTGCGTAACTAAGTTGACACCGATACCCTCCATAGAACTGTTGGTAGCGTGATTGGTCATAAGACATGGTGTCTTAATGAAATAGTTCCCCGAATGGTTAGGTAGAGGTCACTTTACCCCATTGTCCAAAATAAAATAATAGAACAATTTACCACTCATAATACAAAGTTCACACATTTTGTAATACATTCAAACAAGTAAAAAAGCTATTAGAACCTGTGCAGACGAGAGACTATTCACAGGGTAAAATGTTTTTGTCAATATAAATCCCCTGTCAACATTATCGAATAACTCTTAAAGAGGACTATATGCCGAAATTATATTAGTTGCAGTTATAGATCCAGAAATGTTGAATGAGAATCAGTGATTAATTTCAGCTGTTATAATACCCAGTGTTTCAGTTAAGACGTTAAGTTCTAAGTGGGTGTTTTTGCTATCGTCAATAGATTTGCACTCGGCAACAGGCACATAGTCTCTCGTCTGCACAAACCCATAATGTTATCGACAATTTCAATATAATTGTGTTGTCGCAGCATTTTGCTTTTATACATTAATTGACCCTGTAATGTTTAAGTTGACATCAATATGGCACTATGAAATGAATTTTGTTTGACAATAAAAATTGAAATTGGTACTTTGTGCTTTTTTTATTTTTTTGTATTGCAACACAACATTTTTTCATGTTATTTGAGCCACGAAAAGCACATCTATTTACAAATTAATTACATAGAGTACATAATAGCACTATAATAATTTATTATTCTTTGGTAAATAGGTACATAACAGGTGTTTGAATTTTGAGATTCAATTAGTTAGCTATTCTATAGGCACCTGCACACTTTGATTATATTTATTATACGATTACACTATACAATTCTTCTATTTAGGTACTTTAGTTAAATATTTTTAGAATTTTCCTTCCGTGGTCTACGTACTGTCTACCTCTATATTCTATGTCCATAAAATCTTGTTTTATATGTCAATGAATTTTTGAATCGATTATTCTATCATAAGGTACTTTTTTCTTTTTCCTCTCTTAGCTTAATATAAACTCGAATAAATCTATAACCAAGTACAATTTCCATAAAATTCTGTTCATTAAGCCCTAATAAATAACACTCATATAAATATTAGAAAGCACAATAAAATATTTACTTTAGTTCCCAATTTTACGGCCACTGTGTTTTATTTATTACTGATACAATATGGCAACACATCGACGAAATACTTATTTAAGCTGGCAAGACTACGAAATCGCGTTGTTTTTAAATTAGGAAAGATACATACGTGTGGTTTAGAATCACGGTTCACGCCTGGATAAGTCGTCGTCGCTAATGATCGGTTTGCGGTCGTCGCCCTTACTGCCGCGAGCGAAACGCCCGACGCGACGAGCGATAGCACTCGTCTTCTCAACAGCACCCCATCCGCCACTGTGACCTCCTCCACTGGCTGACCGAGATAGAAGTCCTGTGACTCCCTCGCCGAGTTTGCTGTGGTGTATCCCATATAAGAAGTAAAGAAGGAGGCCTGAAATGTAAGTAGTTTTTTGATATTATTATTAGAGTTAGATGTACACTCTTTAATGTCTTTATGAGTCTTTCGTTATCCACTTACCGAAAGTCATCCAAATAGCAAATCGAGCCCAAGTGAGTGCGTTAAGGTTTATCATTAGCTCAACGTTGAGCATGACACTCAGAGCCGGCAGCAGAGGAACCCATGGCACACGGAAAGGAAGCCGCGTTGGACTTTGTTGATGTGCCCAAATTATCACCAAACCTGTAGAAATATTTACAAGATAAAATGTACGAGTACTTGTTTAGAACTTAAAATTGTTCCTACACTATTACTAAATTGTGGGTTAACAGATAATAATTTCAGATTTCACCTAATTTTGAAAAAACATACATACATAACTTCACGCCTATGGAGGTAGGCAGAGACTATGAAACACCAATTGCTACGATTCCTACATACCTACCTCTTTCGCTTCATCGACAGTCATCAATCTTTTCATGCATGGTCGTCGGTTAAGGTTCTTTTAATTTGGCCCTTCTTTAATATATCGCCATTCTGGTCAGTTTAAAAAAACAGCACAAGAATTTTATACTCACAAGCAACAATAATGAAACTCAGGACAAAGTCTGGCAGCAAAGCCCACAGTCCAGCTGGTTCCGCCAAGAAGTGGTTATGAGCACAAAGAGCTGCAGCGGCAGCAGTAAACGTGTACACACAGCTCGTCACAGCAGCTCCGGGAGCCCTGCCGCCTGCCAGGGGCTCCAACCAAGCGTACTGAGCCCGAAGACGACCAACCGTCAAAGCTTCAAACATCTGTAAAGAGAAGAAACATATTGTTATATGTTTCTATGTGTTTTAAGTGGATGAACATTAAGTGAGTACCTCAGAGGAAGAAGAACCACCATCAGTAGCCGGAGTACCAGTCGCTGAACTATCTTCCCTGTCACCAGGAGACTCCAGTTGCGGTACTCCAAAACTCTTGTCATCCACCGCAGGAACAGGCCGATAACGAAGTATAATCACTGCAGCACTGACTATGGTGTATGCTAACAAAGTTCCTATAGACATAAACTCCACAAGCTTCTCCAAATCAAACAATAGAGCTATCAAGGCTGAAGATACGCCAGATATAATCAAATTAACAATAGGAATCTGTGACTTGTTATTGATGTCACTGAGGAAACCGAATAAGAGACCATCAGCGGACATGGCATATAGACACCGTGGCAAAGAAAACAAGGAGCCCAACAGAGTTGTGGTCATACCGCACACCGCGCCTACGGCAACTGCGTACTTAGCCCAATCAGCGTGAACTGCACCAAGGGCAGCTGGCAAAGCAGCATCAGGGTTGATAGTTTGATACGGAACCATCAAAGTCAAAGCTAGAGCGACCAAAATGTAGCCAAAAGCAACAAGTGCCATTGATAGGATGGTAGCGATGGGGATTGACCGAGATGGGTCCTTTGCTTCCTCACTGGAAGCTGATATACTGTCAAAGCCCACGAATGCATAAAAACATGTAGCAGCGCCAGCTAATACACCACTCACTCCGTAGGGCATGAACCCACCATTCTTTTGGGACCAATTACCGATGTCAGCGTAATAGAAGCCGAGGAAAATCACAAGGGATATAACCAAGAGGTTCAAGATTGTGAGGCCATTATTTATGTATGCTGAAGTTTTAACACCAACAGCTAAAATTAAAGATGCCACGATGCATATTAAAAATGCTAAGACGTCTGGATATCTACTCAAAAGAGTTTCGTGCATTTCTCCTGTTATGGAAATGGTAGCGTTGCTTATTGCACCGTCCAGCATGGCATCAAGGTAGCCAGACCACGCTCTAGCCACAGATGCGGCTCCTGTAACAAACATAGAAGATTATAACAGGCATATGTTACGGAAAACCTAGGAAAAACAGAAATAGAGTTACGATTTGCGAAATCTCACCTATCATATATTCCAGCACGATGTTCCAACCTATGATGAAAGCCCAAAATTCACCGATGCTGACGTATGTGTAGGCGTAGGCACTGCCCGCTCTCGGTATTCTAGTTCCGAATTCAGCGTAACAGAGAGCAGCCAAGGTAGATGTTATTCCAGCCAAAAGAAAACTCAGAGCAGTTGCTGGTCCAGCCATGTGACGAGCGACAGTGCCAGTCAAGACGTAAATGCCTGCTCCAACCATATGCCCCACACCTGAAATGAAATGAAGAAATATTTTTGGGGTTTCAAGTAAGTACTGCTGAGGACCACTAACTGATGTCATTTATTTCTAAGATCTCACTTTTTGTGGGTACTCGCCACCGGGAACAATGATCGCTTCGAGATCTCCCTACAAAACATACATACAACTATAGGCATAGGTATTATCACGAAAGCAGGCCTATTGCTTAAGCACATGATTAGGCTCTTTGCAATTACCTGTCTAGTTCCTATTAGTAAACAGTATTAATTCTATTCAACACAAAACATCCTAGAATTTCATTGAGTTGACTCAAAGCTCGTTCATTGCTTTGTACGCTTTTCAAAAAAAAAAAGGAGTAAAAAGTACTATTTTTGCTGGTGCCACTTACCCAATAAGGTGATGTCCAAGGTAGTGAGACATCGGTTGAGTGGTGTATCCAATGAATCTCCATATATGGGTTTACGACGATTCATCTTATGGCAAAAGCCAGATAGGACGTGCCCAAGTATCTTATGTCTGGCCCCCGGCATCGTGACGTCGTTTTCCTGAAACAGGAAAAATAATACTAGGAATTATACCTATCCACGTATTAACACACTTTTGTCTTGTTTAACAAAGGTATTTAGAGGGGACTTTTGGTGATCCAAATATAGGTCATAGAAGATTTAATTGGAGTTGCACTGCACTATACGAAGTCTTCAGTTATTTATGGACGACTGTCACTAAGATGGTAGAGCTATATTAGGAATTGAGCACAGGTTTCACTACTTTACAAACTTTGCTTTTATCAGGAGCGCCAGTTTATGGACGTTTTACAAAGATATTTTAAAGACTTTTCACTTATTTATTAATTGTAAATATAAGGCTTTGACAATACCTGATGATGTTAAAAGGCCAGCTGACGATATTTGCGTGAACTTCTTCCAACTGTTAACCGAAGATAGGTCGGCGCGCGCAGCCGAGTAATCGATTTCTTGATACGTACATATTATAGTGATAACCGCGTTATGTTGCACGTTTAGAAGAATTTGCTTCAAATAGGTTGTGGAATAAAATAATAAAAATATAATTACACCACAAAAATGTTTGCGGGTTGAAATAGATACGAAGTTAGAGGTATAATAGCAATGGACAAGTATGAGTATATGTACGTAAGTACGTACCTAAGTAAACAGACGCTTATCATGTCGGTTCATTGTAGCGGAAGGCCTCTTAGGATCTATGGTTATTTAGTTAACAAACAACGGAAGTCTGAAACATTAAATGATCTAGTTGAGCGGTTTTGACCAACCGGAACGACATAATAAATAATTATGTAGCTAGCGTCTAGTGACATGTCATTTTTAAACCCATCGTTTGTATCAACATCGTTTGTATGACATCGTTGTATGAAACAAATTGCCCTGAGGCAGGCATATGAAATGGATAGAATCATCACAGTCTGTCCATTTTACAGCCATGTGGGTCGTTTTTACATTGCCACTATAGTACCTATATAGGTTCAAAAAGTGTCTACGTGCGTAACAAACATGACCTATGTCAATAAACAAGCTCAGACATACCTACATGTTTTATGAATGTGGGCCCTTTGGTATGTGGGTAGGTAAGCAATTGCCTGCTTATTTAAACATGTGAAATATTTTTTTATCATCTTGTTTCAATGAGAGGTGACACCCGTTCTTCATAGGGCCTTGATAAGGCTGCCTTGCATTAAGATTCATCTACAGTCATCTCATTACATTACACCAATTACACTATAACATCACGCCTTTTATCCCCAAAGGGGTAAGCAGAGGTGCACATAGTCCCAATGTCCTATGTAACACCCACTTTTCACTATTTTTGTTATGAGTCCTAAGAATTCTAGTTTCCGTGCTACTACTGATAATTTATTAAAAAACTTTGCCCGACCCGGTAATCGAACCCGAGACCCCCTGCCCAGCAGTCGTACTTGCTATCACTTGGCCAACGAGGCAGTCGCACTACTTGTGTGGAATAAATAAGAATTTTATAATTTTACAGCATATTGACTGACTGGTAATCTGCAATACCATCTAATAGAAATCTGTTTTGATTTGGTTTTTTTCACTAAAGAATCTATCTAATCAGCACATAAGGTAGGTACATAGTGCCAGTATTTCCCATTTTCTAACTTTTAGCTGTAGCATCGGTATGGAAAAACGAAGTACACAATACATAGAACATTAAAAAAGCAACGATTACAACGTCAGTTGATTAATAACATCCGATCTAGAATAATTGGCAAAAGCTTTCAAGTCAATATAAACAGCGAGTATAAATACCGTTTACTACTTAATCCGGGAGTACCCAGAACGATAGCAATAAAATTGTTTGCCATCGTATGAAGTGAGAACAATGTTCAGAGAACTGGGTCAACCGCAGATCGTTAACGAGCTGACCAACGATTCACCGAGCTAGTGATTTTTAACGTGCCTAGATAAAGTAGGCATATCTCCCTCGCTTGCGTTACATAAAACTATATGCATGTTGATAGGCGTGTAGTTGGTTGGCACTTGGCATAATTACAACAGAATTGCTATTTACCGATACGTTTGTACGATTTTCGCAAGCACGGTAATTTGGGTTGAATTCCTAGATTGATTTTTCGAAAAATTCTCAGTAATAGTACAGACACGAAGTCTAAATTGTATCCGGTATCTATACCTGTAACAATCAACTCATCTCCTATTACTTAAATGTTAAAAAATGGTCACCTATTAAGTACATTACATATGTGCACCTTTGTTTAATCCTTCAGGTATAAAAACGTTGCTATGGTCTTCAGCATTACCTAACTCAACCAACGAGGTACTTATTTTATGATATTTACCTACCCACATATTCAAGTACGTGGAATATAATGTGGGTAGTGTACCTACCTACAGACTACAGAAGATCCACCTACTAGAACTAGAGATTATGTGGGTAGTCTTTCCTAGCACACTACCTCCTTAGGTAACGACCATTATATAGAATGAAGAATCGCATTAAATTACCTCCTACCACCATGTCTACTACCTACCTACATTAAAAAAGAAAATGCTCTACCTAATCATAGATAGACCATCATAAATAGACGTCATCTATTAACACAATGGATGGATATACGACTGCTATTTTCACTTGTAGGTTAATCTCTGCATAAAAGTCGGTCAGTAATTACTTCAAACGAAACCAAGCCTATGTAATCGAACACACTTTCTATATTTGTTTCCTAGGTGTATATATTTTACTTAGTTTTCAAGCTGCTAGCCTATAAGCTGTAATTTTAGGTGACGCATAGCGTAACAAACTCTTAAATTTTCCCTACAATTGTATTATCTGTTGAGAGAAATGTTTCTGAGTTCCTGTCTCTGTCACAAAAGGAATTACGTAGGCAGTTGCGAGGTACTTATACTTGAACCCAAAGCCCGCCTACGCTATTGATGTTCCCCGCATTTATTTTTAACTTGAGCTAACCCGGAATTTGGTTTTGATAATGGATAACTTAAGTAGGTACAGTCAGATATTCAGAAAGGTTGCTTATTTTCCGGAGATGTAAATACGAGCTTAGCGAACAGTGAACAATGTTTGTTTAACAAATAGACACATTATTACAGTTCCCTAAATCGCAAGCTGGAACATAGTGGACTTATGAATTATTTATATTTCTTTTGTTGCTCTTGTATTCCGACCTTTGTAGAGTTTGGCCCTCGTTTTCCCGGATTCTTGGAGGAAAAGGGCGCAAGTACGTAAACTGCTGAGTAGAAAAATGGGTAGCAAATAATGATTTAGAATATGAATATGATATATCTAAGTAGGTACCTACCTCTAGGAAACACTTTATTTTAAATACTTTAATGATTAGAATCCTCTGAACTTAGTCTTTGCCAATGGCTAGTTAGTTATGTGCTTGAAAGACTGAGATTTAATAGGTATAACTAGGTTCCTATGTAGGTACATTTTTTTTAAGGGGGGAATGTACCTACATTGTAAATAAAATAAAATAAAAAATGTACATAGTAACCGTTGACTAATCGTTAGTTGACTAAGCTATCAGAAATAAAACTAACCATAGACTTAGCTTTAACATTTTATTTCTAACTTGTTTTATTACAGACAAAATGTAAACATTGTTTACAAAATATATAAAAGTACATACAACATACACGATACGTTATAATTTAAATAAATTATTATGAATCAATGAATGAGTTTAATATAAAGAATGACTGATTATATTAAAGTAGGTTTGTAAGTACACAGCTAACACGTAAGTACATAAGTAGGTACCTCAATATAGGCAATCATAATCAGGCTAACAACTTGTCGAATTAAATGGATTTTTAATTTTTGTCACGCGCTTTATCTTTATGACGTAACACGGTTATTTACCATCTCAATGGCAAGTCAAATTCCTCAAATATGTACCTACATACAGTTCTATTCTAAATTACGTATTAATGTCTGTATTTCAGTCCATGTTAACTGTGACTATTTTAAGTTGTTAGCTATTAATTTACAAAGCAATTAAAGCAACCCACACAATAGAAGAAATAATTATCTTTTTCACGCTCGAGACAAAAGCGATTAAGACAGATAAGTCAGATTAATTTCACAAAGAGCTCTCAAAGAAATGTTTAAATAAATCATTCTATTGTAGATTGATATTCCGAAATTAATTAAAATAAGATTTCTTGTAGTTATAACGAGTTAAGATAGAGTAAAGCGAAATTATTCTTTAACTCGTCGAGTACCGGTTTTATAGACACAATTAAAGAACAATAGGTCGCGGTCACCGGTGACCGCTTGGTATTTGACAGTTTAAGTAGATACTTTACATAAGAAATAATTGCTTATATAACAAGAATTATAATAAATCAAATGATATGTTTTTAGGCGTCAGTCTTGAGAAATGTAGCAATAATTATGGTAAAATATTTATACAATTAGATTATAATTAACATAATAACATAGTTAGGAATTTTATTTATCGTAACACAATATAAGTAATTATGTACTAGCTGACTGCTCCATATTATTGCATATATTCTGCAAATGTACCTAATGGATAATTACGTATGTCGCGAAATAGTAATTAGCCCCTAAGGCCCTAAATTCTAACAAATTAAATTCGGACTATATGTATTGATTTTGTAATAATTACCTATGTAAGTATCTAGTTACTTGTAACTTTAAGGGATTTATTTTAGGTAAGTAATGGTATGCTTCAGTATCTATATAAATATACGATGATAACTTCCAAGACAGTGCTACGATAACACAGAATAGAGGGTCTATTATAAACCTATTTATAAAGTCTAGATATTATTAGAAGTTTATACTATACTTACTTACATAGTTATTATACCTAAACGATTGTCGCATAACGATAACAAGAGTGACACAATTACATATTTCATTAATCGCACAGAATAATTATTACAAAATTTAAACAAATATCAATTTTGACGAATCAATGGTCCCAATACTCCCACAATGTTAAACATATTAATAGGATTTATTAAAAAAATAGAGTAAATATTTAGGTAAGAGATAAATATATACATAGGTATTCATAGACTTGTTAGTGACATTTTGATAAATTACTTTTATGTAATTTAGAGATTAGCTTTTGTATAAAGGAACTTGATACATACTGTTTAAATAGGTACACAAATGTTAGTTGATAGACTAACTTAACACCTAACTAGATTAGATTAGAAGTGATTATGTAATTGTATAGTGCCCAGTTACCGTATTTACCATAAAATATAGTAGTTAAGTACGTCTTTTTATTGTCATTCAATTAATAAGTAATTGATTTCTTTCATGGTCTCTCTAAGTTTACGTGGGTACTTTTGGTTTGTAATCGTGAGTTACAGATACGGCTTTTCGTGGAAGTGAGGAGCCTTTGTTTGAATGAATAAAACAATTCGGTAAATTAGACGTTCCCTCACAAGTTTCCCTTGCCATTAAAGCGAAGCTATTGATTGTTACTTGTTACCTCTCCAGTTTTAGCGAGTGGGCGGGAAATAGCGGTTCATTTGTTCCATTGTTAGGGACGGAAAACTAAGAACAACTTTGTACCTAGTTTTCCTTAACAAAATGAGCAAGCATTATTGTGTTAGGTAGACAAAAGGTCATAAAATAAAATAGGATAAAATTTACGAAAAATATTTATTCAATTACCTGAATGTGTCACAGATACAAGGAAATATATTATGAATTTTCATTGAAGAATGTTTTGTAAATCAAAATAAAATGTTCATTTCTTTATAAAATATTATTTTCCTCGTTTAGAATTTAATAGGTATAATTATAAAGAGCTGGCAGTATACTCTGTACTCGTATATGTAAATAAATATTAAAAAATAAATTATATTCATGACATTGGCTCGGTTTATAAAAAAGTATTTATCTCATTACAAGATAAGATCCGAGGACCTTCATCAGCATCATGAATCATCTTAGAATAATTATATACGTAGAAAAACGTAACTGGAAATTCGATCCAAGTCTAATAGTAGATATAAATACATACATTTATTTAACGTACAACATTTGTAGTATTTTAATTCAACAAAAATATGACACAAGTGTAATTATTATAAATTTTAAATGTGCAATGTTTTAATGGATGAAAACACTGAACTACGTATCCTACTCACAAATTAGGTTGATACCTACTTAGTTACACAATCATTCAACAAATTTACTTTTCTGCGAACTTATTTATATCTTATCTAACAATTTTGTAACTTGTATGTACATAATTATCTAGTTTATTCGGCAAAAGTACTTATAAAATGGTTTGACTAAGATCCTACTGTTTGCTAGGTAATACTCAACACATCTTAGATGGCGGAGTTGTACAGATTCATGAATGTCACTGATATAACAAATGCTTGTAATTTTTCTCTAATTATTCTTATTATTTCTATCGCTCTTAACAGTCATACCAACAAATACTATCTATAGGCTAGTAGTAGAGAGCATTACACCAAATTAATATTCATTTATACAGGTACTGAACATTTATGTATATGTAGTTACAAATTATTAATAAAAAGATACAAAAAATATTTCATGTTTAACCCTAGACAGTTTGCACTAAGCAGCGAAATCAAGCAAACATTAATTATTTCGAAACTAGTAGCATACACAACATTGGTACGCGTTTAGATATTAAACGAACAAAGCGACATCTGTTTTGTGCAAAATCGAATTTAAAGTAACAGCCTTTGCTTACTTCAAAATTCGTGTAATCTGTTACATAATTTAACATTTAAAAAGTATTTACGTCCCTGATCCAAGATCAAAAATATACTTATATAGGTATAATATACTTTCAGGTCTTTCAGTGCACTACGGCAACTTTCGGGTGTTTCCACGTTGCTGTTAAAAATGATCACAAACATCACACGTTTCTTTTAATATTGTGATTTATTTTTTTACGTAAACATGTAATGTGAGTAAACATTTTTATAGCAGTGTAGGTTCACCGTTAGACATTTCAAAAATGGAAAACTGGACCTTTTATTCAGCCTATGTAACCTGAGGTGCGATTAAATCATTTTTAGGAGTCTCACTCAAATACAAACATTAGCACAGTCGTAGATAGAAAAAATTGAATAAAAATACATTTACAGTCAGTCAGAATATACTAGATACGTATTTGTATAAACCCACATATTTTGTAAGATAGGTAAATATTATTTAAAAAATATAGAAACAACGATCAAGGCATTATAAATGTCTAAATCATAAGTTGTGCATTTACTGCAAAAATAACTGAGCTGTGCGTCAGCGGATTGTAAAAGAAAATTTAAAAAAATAGACGTCATTAAAAGCGACGGAAAATAAGCAATGGACGGAGGGGCAAAACTGACGATAGAATAGTGACAATTGAAGTGTAAAAACAGCTGCTGTTAAGAATTTTATCACAGGCGTTAAGAGTAGACAAAATGAGACGATGTGATCAAGATTGATCTATAAATTGAAATACGACTGCGGTGGAAAACCGGCCGATGTGCAACGTGTCGCGTGTTTGATTCCCGCACGGAACAATTCCTTGGGTGTTTTTCCTCGTCGAGGTGTAATGTGTAGTAAATTTATATATTTGTAAACGCACTCATTTTAAAGGTAAATGATCCTCAACATGGTTTAAAGAGTAAACTTGTAAAAGCGTAGTGAATAATCATAAAATGCATAAAAAATGTAAGTTCGTTTTTGAACCAAGTAAATTAATTTTATTGTACTAGTATATATATAAAAAATGCGCGGTTTTATAGCATGATACGGAAGGTAAAGATATGGGTAATATTGTACAAAATTTTTAAATCTATTGTACTGAATAACAAAACTTCCATAGTTCCATAATTGCTAAAGTATCGTCGTCATGCAAAATTCGATATAGCAAACGAAATGAAGAAAACTGTTATTTTTATTGTGGGTGGTTAAACTGTAAAATGTATCGGGCATTATGCTTTTACGCCTTTTTAAATAACAAAAAGAATCTAAGCCGAAAGTAAAATGGGAAATATAGATATTTTTAATACAAATACATACTCGACTTGCCAGCCCTGTTGTAAACGAGGGGCATGATTGAGTAATTAACAAGTTACGGAGAAACAAGTTAACGGTTAAATATTTAATTGATATGTAGCACGATGTTTTCAATTAAAAACATAAAAAATATGGATCTTTGTTGATACATACAAATACTTATTACATTGACACGACTTAACTAATGTAAGAAAAAACATTATATTATGCGATAAATTCATAAATATCACAAAATTACATATCATAGACATTCATTACAAAACAATATCGTCATTAAAATAATAGGTATGATACAACATTTAGCTGTAGCTCACCCGGAAACTAGGCCCTTTGTACATAGTTTAGGGCACAGCACCTTGCCACTCCAGATAATACCACAAATACACACATTCTCACTTCTTTCATTTCCTAAAAAAAATATAAAACTGGTATATTACAGATTATTTTATAATAAAAATTCGAGTTTATAATTACAGCTAAACAGACAGAATTTAATACTTAATTACAATCGATTTTTTAAACAACACAGTTGTTACATTCGTACTTAATCAGTACCTACCACTTCCTAAATACGCGCTACATTAAATTAAAACCGTAATTATTTTCAATTTATTATTTGAATAAATTCAACTTTTTTAACATTATATTCATTTGATAATTTTCCAACAACAAATATGTTTCGTCCCTTAGCACCTTAATATTAGTTTCTACTACAACAATATTTTCATTTTACACAATTATATCACATTTAAATTGCACATGCAGAGAACAAAACCAATGTTACAAAACAGGTATTAAATCACCAAATATTTGGAACTAACTTTAATAACGTTCACAGGAGTGCATTCTCAGGAAAGTTCGCGGCTTTCCCGGTTGCAGACACCACTATCCACCCGTGCCATTGAAATACTGTGCGTGTTTCGTGTACGGAGCTGCAATGTGATAAGGCGGAGGTTGACCTCGACCGTAAACTGGCTCAGAAATGCTAGGACTATGCCGGTGGTTAACCACACTCGGAGGATTAGATGAAGCCGGAATGGAATCATATAAATCATACATATTTTGGCTAGTCGGTGAATGAACATGACTGTAACTTCCATCATCAGATATCAAAGGTGTAGTAGCCATTCGATATGGATTAGTTGAGTTAGTATGCCCCGTCGGCGAGTATAATTCCGGGGACTGTGTGGATACGTAAGTAGGGCTTGCCGGTATACCATAAATATTGGCGTTTTGTGGCTGTGGTTGATGAAGGGCTGTTGAGTATTCATGACCTCCTACTACAGCACCTGGATATACGTTACCGTAACTGCTTAAATTTGGCATAGTAGTTGAACTAACCACTTGACTAACAGTGTGTAACCTAGGACTTGGCAAATCACGATTCCCGTGAGAGTGGTAATTATAGGCATCATAATTCCGCTGCCCATAAATTTTATCTTTGGCACGCGCACAATTGTCGCTATCATATATACTTTCATGATAATTATTCTCTGACACTGAATGGCATATGTGATCTTTCCTAGCATATAGTGGATCATAAGGAGATATATTTTCCATGATTGGTCTAGTGTTGTATGCAGTTTCACTAAAATGTGGCGATAAAACAGCTTCATTGACAGGTTGCCTATCTTGTGAACTAAGGCTCAGCCTCTGTAATCGATTATGGGACTCATCAACCCCAACTCTGTAATTAACATCATTTGGTAATGGATAATTTTTATGTTCTATATGGCCACGGTATACATTTTGGGGTAAAGGTACATTTGCTCTATCCATGTCTTGTCTAGAACTGTATTTATCAGTCTGTTTGGAGCTATATTGTCTCTGAGGTAAAAGGTAATTATCACTATTTTCTGATTTAAAATCACCACCAGGATTCCCAGTATTTTCAGGATACAAAGCATGATCTACACTTTTGTAACTTTTATCTTGTTCATATGAAAGATCCAGTGGTTTATCATATGCATTCTCAGCAGTAAGATTATCATAAACTGACGTTTTCATAAGCAGATCTTTGTTTGTATTACCTGAATTACCTTTTCCTGTGTTTTCTATTTCTAATTTGTTGTCTGATGCGAATCTTTGTTGTAATGTAGGTGTTATTTTAGCAGCTTTAATATGTACTGCATTTTGCATAGGCGGAGTAACATCTTGAGTACCATCTTTGTGTATATTTCTAGCATGCTTTGCTAGTGCTCTTAATTCTTTTGGATAAGGTGTTGGAGCTCGCTTAAGCTGACCGGGCTTTTCTGTCACTTTAGGAGCTGCTTTCATGTCAACAAAACTGATGTGACGGGCTGAAGAGTTGGCTTCAACATTTTCAGATTTATCATTTTCCAATTTCATTTCAATAGGAGTTAAAGGCACTTGGGGAAAGAGGAAACAAGTGAGGACTTGTTCATATGTCTGAGGATCTACTTCAGAATGCATAGGCACTAAAGGTTTGCTTTGGTTTTCTGATAGCCAGAGGGCTACTAAATTATCACAATTCAACAAGGACTGAGGAAGACAACTTAGTGAATTCCTTACTAAGTTTAACACTCGTAATGAAGTCAGGTGGCCAACTTCTGGAGGGACTCTAGTCAATTTATTTGATCGTAAGGATAGCACGGACAATTTGGTACAACTCCCTATCTCTGGAGGTATTGCGGTCAACATATTATCATCAATGTTCAGGTATTTCAATTTCCTTAGAAGTCCAATAGAAGACGGTATTTTATCTAAGTAGTTGCACATGAGCATTAACTCTTCAAGATTAGCTAGTTGTCCTATGCTCTCTGGTATTGAATATAATCTGTTATTATCTAGTTTCAGTGTGGCTAAGTTGCAAAGCTGTCCAATGCTGTCTGGCAACTGTGTTAAGATATTTAATGACAAAGTTATATCCACTAGTTGTGTGCAATATCCAATTTCAGGCGCTAGTTCTTCAATCATATTATTACTGGCTTCCAAATGTATCAAATTTTCTAATGGTTTTATAACAGATGTAATGCATGTCAAATTATTGTTATCAATCCATAACTCTCTTAACTTGACAAATCTTCCAATCACTTCAGGAAATTGTTGAAAATCATTTTGTCCTATATCTAATCTCTGTAATTCGGTTGATCGAGACAGTGACTTAGGTAATATCATTAAATAATTGTCTCTTAGTTCCAGTATTCTTAAATTCGCTAGACGTCCAAAATTGCCTGGAAGATACTCCAGGTATGTATCATTTAGGTACAGTTCTTGTAATGCAGTCAGGTTTGTAATAGCATCTGGTAGTTTCTCCAAGGGATTAACACTAAGGTCTAGGAAAGCTAAATACTTTAGTGCTTTCATGTTTTCTGGTATTGATGTTAATGTATTCCTACTAATATTTAAGTGTTGAAGATTCACTAACGAAGATATGGCTGCTGGTATAGTTGACACTTCATTATCACTAAGATCCAAGTATTTTAATCCATGGCACATAAACAGTTGGCGCGGGAGTTCCGTCACACGATTACTCTGGCAGTACAGAGTTTCAAGCGTCCTTTCATACACAAACACTTCAGTGGGGAAGTCAACTAAGGACTGGTGCGAATAGTCCAACTCCACAACATCTTCGACGCCAGGTCTCACACAGCACAGAAAATCGAACGGCATTATGTTGGAACTTATTTCCAATCTTATAAAACACAACTATACGTTTTTGATACAAAAATGCACAAAACACGGTCTGTCCAAATCACTGACATTGTTTGTAGAACTTAAACATTGCGGCGCTTCTTTCCACTTAGTCACAGTGATAAAAACTTAGCAAAATGGTATAAAATTACTTAATAATGAATCACTCAAACAAAATAATGATAACCTTCCCCGCCCGACCAATCCCAGTAGTATTCTCATTTTCTTAAATCCGGTCCGTCACTTCTACTTCTGTCGTTCATTTCATTGATGAATCGTCTCGCTTCATACTTTGTCTATATTGACTATGATTGACTATTTACAGATGATTAAAAACTACTAATTACCTCTATGGTAGTTCCGTCAGTGAGTTTTAGCCTAATTCCTAATCGACTAAGCACAAAATTCATATCGATTTTAGAATCATCTGTTTAGTGATAAAATTAAAGCAATTATTGGCATTAAAATTCTTTATTTCGCATAATATTTAATGCCCTACCTCACCTGCAATCCAAAATACATTATATATTAACAGGTGGTCAGATGGCGGCAAATTCAAAAATTTGAGGTAGTTTTTCGAACGGATCAAACAATACCTAAGTTTTTCGATTTATTATTTTATGTTACGCTAGAGATACTAACTAGTAAGGTTTATCTTCAAATTTGTGGGTTTACTACTTTTGGTAAACCGCGAATTTTAATATCCAGCATGTTCTTGTTTGTATCAGGAAATGAGACAATAAATTACAAGCCCATGGATGGCTTCATGAGTCGGTTATCAGTATCATAAAAATGTTTTAGGTTCAAATCCTAAATTGGAAACGCATTATTGGACTTATCGTCGATTTTCGAAAATTATCAACAGCACGAAAATTCTCAGTCGTTTGACAATAAACTGTCCCTCTTTCTCTTTCTACATGGAATCATAATCTGTCTAATAAAAAGTTGATACATACTTCATTTGAATATCCACTTTAGTGAATAAAAAGTGAAATAAAGGTTTAAATTCATTTATTGCACTAATTTTATACGACGAATAACTTATGACAAATAAGACAAAAGACAACTTAAGGAAAATAGGCTGAAACAGGTGTTGCTCGGTAGGTGGATCCTCGCGTAGTTTTCTTTTCCCTGTAGTTCACTTTAGGTAAATTTATATTCATGTTTTCTTTGTCTGGTTGATTTGGGAAAGACTTCGTTTTTGCACCTATAAAGAACAAAAAAGTCGAAAAATTAAATATTTGGTCACTATGTAAGAATTTTAAATTGTGTGAATACTATACTATGAAGTTTCTTCATTCACCTTTTCCCATTTGATTATCACTTTCAGAAGGTTGCAGATATTTTGGATCAAGTCCTACTTTTGAAACCTTTTCTTGTACTGCAGGGCCAGGCGACTCTTCCAAATTTGATGCTCTGCAGAAGGAAATGGCGCTAGTATCATGTGGGTATTATACAATAAGAAATCAAAGTAGAATATTAATCAATCAGAAAATATCTCTTGTTATAAAAACAATACATTCCCAATTACTTACGATTTGGAAGTGGCATAGAAGTCAATAGATTCTTCAGTCAAGCCTTGTGAAGAATCAGTGTGGTTATGGTTCCTAGACAAAAAATATGGAGTGGAACTAGTGGCTGCTTGTATGCCCAGCCTTTTGGTTGGCCCTGAATCAGATGGTTCCATGTTATCCAATTTTTTGTGAAGCCATTGGATTACTGAAACCGACAAAATTATTTTATATACTAAACTGACCCTCAGTTTGGCTTGAAGATGTTGGTTGAAATGTTTGTGATTGTCAACTATCATAACAATATTAATCACAAGGTTTTAAAGATATATAACAGTGTAAAGTGTGGGTGTTGTATTGTACATGCAGAGATTAAAAGACCTGAGGTTATGTTTTTTAAATTTAATGAAAGCCTCATCTTACCCATATTATTATTCTTGATAGTTTCATCTCTGTCTTTGAGAGCTTTCTCATTTGCTTCATACTTTTCCTTCAAATCATCTAACTCTTTTTGTAATCTCGCCATACACTGTGTAGTACTGCTGATTCTACTACTTAAATCTTCGATCTCATTATTATTCCGTTCTATAACTTTTTCTTGTTCCAGTGCTATTGCTGTTCTGCATAGCAACTGAAAGAAGATATTGTTTTGAAATTATGTGAAATGTGATTCAACTAATTTATAACTAAGGGCTCGTACACAAAACTGCGATGCGATGTGATGCGGATTCGCAACACAAAAAATTACGATGCGAATTGCTGCGATGCTATTTCGTGCGACAAGCGTCTCCCAGGGTGACCATTCATTCGCCGACCGTCAACCGTACCCAACGTATTTTAAATTGAAAACTAAGTCGTGACTGGGATCGTAAAAAGAAGTGTGCACTTTTGTTATTGCTTAGGAGATCCAAGAAAAAGAAACAAAGAAGATTTTGGGAAGATAAGATTTTGATGCGTAGAGGGAGTTCGCACATCTTTGCGATGCGACATCGCATTGCAGTTTTGTGTACGAGCCTTAATAGTTAAATACTTTAAATATTCTTATTGACACAATGTATTATTTTTTATTATTATTTTTCACCTTTTCTTTCATCTCAATCAAGTCAGCATTTTGTTTAGAAATAATTTGATTTGCCTTCAAGAGCTGTTCCGACGTTGATTGGACAGCATCATTGTTTCTGTTCACAAGAGATTCACTCAAAGCTAATCGCTCCTCCAAACTTAACTGCGAAAAAGAAAAATAAGAAGTTAATGTACTTTCATTTAATGTGATTTAATATACAAATTCAGTTTTTAAACCAAATAATCAGCCTAATGGCGAAAGAAACATACCTTTTCCTTTTTAACTATTTGCAGAGAACTATTTAATTCTTTTATGACATCGGAATTATCTTTTATAGTCTGTAAAGAAGAATATATTTATTTTAAAGAATCAGTTACATAAAACATCATAAATAAATATTATTAATATAGGTATACATACCTTTTCTAAATAAGTACATTTAGAATTCAATTGGTGATACTGTTTCTCTTTTTCCATGATATCCCTTTCTAACGACGCATTTTTAGCTTTCAATGTTGCTACTTCTATGTGAGATTTTTGCACTTCCTTTTCTAACATATTCAAGCATTGGGTTTTTTCACTGAAAACATGAAAATATGTAATAATACTTATATAAAAGTACACGAGCAGACAGATCACTTGATGGTAAGCAATCGTCGCCGCTCATGGACATCTGAAACACCAAGGCGTTACAAGTGCGTTACCAGCCTTTTGGCAATCGGGAATTTTAGGATTGTGGAGGATTCGAGGAGAACAACGCAAGCGTTGTTTCACGTCGGTTTTCTGTGAGACCGTGGTATCACACCGGTTGATCAGCCCATTCGTGTCGAAATATGGCTCTGAAAAGTTTGGTTACTAGTCTATTGCATACTACATAGAGGGTAGCATAGAGTTTGTAAACTATCTATGTAGAAGAGACTCATAGTCTTGAGTCATTAGCTGTTGATGAACTTGTAGTTGTTTGTAGAATATGGTAACTAGAATTAGATGTTTTGGATTAACTGTCATTAAATAAATGGTGATAAAAATACCTTAGTTGATTTTCTAGGTGTCCAATGTTGTCTTTTAATTGCCTGCAATGGGAATTAATTTCGTCTGTTTGTTTGTCTTTCTGGTTTAAGTTTTCCTGATATGTAGTCAGCTGTGTTTTTAGATTCAAATCTGCATTCTGCTGCCAAAGTATTTTTTCCTAAAATAGAGAAGTAAGTGTTATAATTGAATGTGTGAAATCTTGTATAAGTCAAGATACTCTATGGGTTGCTGAGCCAAAGAAGTAAGTAGTGAAAATGATTTCTTATATTTATTTACCTGTAAGAGTTTCTCTTTTTCTAATTTTAAAGTTTCCTTAAACTCTACTTCATATTTCAACTTCTCTTCTTCCATTCTTGACACAGTATGTGTTAGGTCATGGATCTTCCTCTCCATATTTATACATTTCTCATTTAATTGTGCTTCATTACTCATTGCCGAGCTCTTGAACGATGATAACATTTTCTGTAAATATTTAAGTGGAATGATTAATTAAAAAAAATTACTTTATTTGTTATGATTATAGTGACAGACTATCTCATTGGTAAGAGTATTTCTCTGTTATAGCATGGAGTCTGGTACAGGATGGTGGTCTAACACCAACCCATTTCAGAGATAAAAAGTTCCCATTGTAATGCAATAGAATCACCCCCTATTTCATGGTACTCATAACATATCTGGTGATGAAAAGGGGATGTTCCATTGAAGTGAAACTCTGCAATATTGCACATAGTCCTCACCTTCAATTGTATTATAGTACTAGCCATATGCTGCTTGATCTCATTATCGGTTGCAGGTCCAGTCTTCAGAGATAAATGTACAAGTCTCTTAAATTCATTATGCTCTACTACTTCTAAATAATATTGAATAGGATTCTTCTGTTCCATTATCAAGAACCTGAAAGATATAAAGATAACATTACAAAACAAAAATAATTTCACCTGTGTGTATTCTTAACACAACTTTCTGGGTCTGGGTGATTCAATTATAACAAACTCATTGACTTTAATATCATCTAAGTATGTACTGTTTATCACCAGTGTATCATTATATCCTACATACATACATAGCCTTACGCCTGTCTCCCATGGACAGTATTCCATAGTCACAGACTATGGAATGCTAAACGAAGTTTATCATACTCACATGTTATTTGATGCACATTGTTGTAACAGTCTTACAAGCTGTGACGGGAAATTATCAAAATCCACAAGTAGACCTTGCTGCTTCTTCAAATCTTCATAGTCCATACGTGTTATAGTCAGCACACACAAAAATGTAGGATCCTCGTCTTCAGATAGTGATATTCGCTGAAATTACATGTGTAAATCAATAATAGTAATATGTTTATTGTTGTTCAGTAGCAGATAAGTTTCTAAGTAAAAGGCTAGTTTACCAGAGCATCACTTTCAAATAGTTTGTCAATTGTTACGGTCACATCTTTCTTGCAGTCTTCGAAACCTCTTTTAAAAGTAATGTAATATTTTTCCTTGTGGAATGTTTTAAAAGCCATTTTAACATATCTACGAAAACTAAAGATTAAAATTATGTATAATACTGGATAAGAAATATTAAATTATTCTAATAGTCTTCAAATAATAAAAACATTCAACGAAACAACAAGGTAACAACATTGTTTGAAAACAACTGTCAAACAAAACTGACAGTGGTGACAGTTTGTAAAGTCCAACGACCATAGACTAGACATCGTAGACATCAATGGCAGACTATTATCGGTAATTTTAAGTAATTTGTTATAAAATTGAAGGTATTAACCAAGAGGTTATTATAATAATATTTACGCATCTTTATGTCTCCCATTAATCCTATTTTATAGTTTCTCTTTAATAGTTTTTTTACTCTAGCAAGATGGTAAACTGGTAAATAGATGTCAACTATCCAAACTAATATTTCCCGCCCTTCAAAGACGTGTTGAAACTTGTCAAAAATCAAGAGATATTTCGTTTTTGAAACCTTTTACGTGTAGTAAAACTTGTCTTGTGATTGTTTTCCATTGCTTTTCGTAACTTATACAATGTGGAATGGTAAGTACAGTTAATAGTTTTTTGATGACCGCATCTACCTATCCAATTGGATAAACCAACGGATTCAAAGAGAATGTAACTGTAATCCATTGTTTACCGGCTTTTAGATCAATCTGCAGTTGGTGGAGGTTTCTTCAACTCTCCCAACCAATTTGGCAACGTAAACACACCAAATCAGGCTCAAAAATCTGTAAGTATTGGTCATTGAGGTTACACAACATAATTAACATGTTATGAACTAAAATTAAATAATATAACACTTACCTTACCGTTTGTATTATTTAGGCTCGAAGATCATCACGTACAGCTCCAATTGTAATTAGACAAGCTCTTCACAGTGGTGATGATGGTGTCAAAATATGGGGCACAGAAATCCAGATTGTCTGTATTGTGGCCAGAGTTCGAAACATTCGAATGCAAAGCACTAAAATTACATACACATTACAAGATATTACAGGACGAATGAGAGCTGTGCTTTGGCTGGACCAAGATGCAGCTGATGAAGAGGTAATCATTAATGTGTGCCTAATTTAATACCTCTACAGGCACCTACCTGAAACTATTTTATTTTTTAAATTCAATTCTTTGTCTTACAGGATAAATCTGCACCCAAAGTGCAAGTGGATGACTACATACAAGTGTATGGCACAGTGAAAACCAACAAAGGAAGGAAAGTGCTGATGACCTTCAAAATAATGCCTGTAACAGATGTCAACGCAATCACATTCCACTACTTACACTGTATACAAAATAGACTCAAAATGGAATCTGATTCCAAAAAGGTAATTGAAGAATTCTTATTTGACCAAGTTCTAAAAATATAATAACTTATTAACAAATAATTTAATAAAATAAATACTAACTATTACTTAAGAGACACTAAAAGTAATTATACCAAGTTCTTCGTGTTTCATACTATTATTATCTGTATAAAAGACTAGCTACTCCTGCAAAAGACCTCCACCCACAAAAAGAATTTTCAAATTAGATTAGCTTCAGTGATCAGCTCATTCAAACAAACATACTCTTTAGCTTTATTTGTATAGATAAAATGCATTTTATTTACAATACTCTCAATAATAATGTAGCTATGCATTTTAATTAACATTTCTTTTATCTACAGGAAAAAGTTGAAACCAACAACTCTACCTTTGCTTCTGGTTTACCTGCAAATTCTATGGTTGGTGTAACTGAAAGTAGTGGCTCAGTAAACGGCCTGAACCCTCGGCAAATGATGGTATTCAACCTCATAAGAGCTTCTACTATGGAACAGGGTATCAGTAAAGAAGACATGTATAGCAGCCTCAAGGATCGTATGTCACAAGTTGAATTTGAGTAAGTAACTTACCTCACTATTTCAAATTACAGAATGATACTAAATCAGAGATTTCTTCTGAGTACAGTTAAAATGGGGATGCAAATACATTCAACATAAAGTCAGTAAAAATAGATATGTGGAACCCTTTCTAACTATGCTTGAGTAGAGATCTTCTACCTAAGTAGCATTGTATAACACCAACCTCGAGAACTGAGGACCAGAAAAATTGCTAGAAGCTTACCTACTTGTCTCTTTTTTCAGAAATATTCTTGAATGGATGTGCGGTGAGGGTCATATCTATTCCACAATTGATGAAGAACACTATCGTGCAACTGATGCTTTCTAATTCTGTATTTCGTATCATAATGTTTTGCATCATCATCATAAGATATTGGTTTGCATCAACAATGTTACATTTTCACACAATCACTATATTTTTTAATTAAAGAACTGTGTATATATTCACATATTTTATTTATAAAAAAGATTGATAGTGAAAAATAGATTCAAACTTTTCAGAAATGAGTTAATTTCCTTTATGTACAGATAAAAATTGACACTAAACAAATATTCACTTACAAAGTTAAGCTCCTATGTATAATAATGTTATTAAAAAATACAGAGTAAATGGATAATAATTATCAGTTTCCAAGTTCTGTAAATAAAAACTGTTATGATAACAATATAATAAATGCTATTGTTATTATGATAAATGCTGTCTGGAAACAATGTATTACACTATAGATATAGCTTATAATGACTTATTATTATAATTCATCCCGAAGAGACTTATTTTTAACATCAGGTTTCTTTCCTGTATAAGTTTGACTTTCTAGCTGCACCTCTTTAAGTTCTTCTTGTTCCAAGAGGAATTCCTTTGCAGTCCAAGCCTGAGATCCATCTTTGAACATGAAGATTGCTCTGTCATCATCTACAAGATATCTGAAACATAAATACAAGATATTGAATCATAAGACTTACTGCATGGTTGGGCAACTGGCTGCAAGGCAATGTGTTATCAAGTTGATTCTCACAACCAACTAGAGGCATGGTATGAGTAGAGTTTGTATGTGCTAAATGCACCCATGATACAAGAAAATCCCAGTGTGGGGCAATAAAAATTTAGGTACTTCATTCTGACAAAAACTGTTTAGTGACGTAACTTTATGTAGAAGTTGCAACAAACCTTTCAACTTGAATATGATTACTCCACAAACTGGTCTGCCAGATTTTTGTTAGTTCTTCAGTCCTTGCTCTGGAGGGCTTGTTCGCTACAGAGACAAACATCATCAAAGTTTGTCCTTTTTTAGTTGCTTGTAAGACATTTGCTGGGTCAGACATATCCAGCTTGGTGAAATCTATTGATGGAGGCTTTCGAAGGTGTTCTGGTAATTCATCTTCTGGCAAGGGTTCCTCATCTTCTTCCCATTGGTCAAATAATCTGAAAAATAGACGTTTGATGATTTCTCTGATCTAGAGCTTGTTTACAGTTACTGTACACACATTTCTTTTGATGCGAATTTTTACTTAAAGAAACTTTTACCTTTCCATATCAGCATCGGAGAAATCTCTTATATCCTTCTTAGCCCAATCCGGCTTTTCTTCATCGTTGGCTTTCTTAGCTAAACTTACAGAAATGCAAACAAATACTAAAAAAAATAATGTCTTGTTCATTGTAAATAAAATAAATCTTTTCACTACTAAATAATTACTTATATGCTAACAGTATTGATTTAATAGAATAATATCGACAATGAAGTGGTACACTTTCTTCTTAGGGATTCGCAAATAAGAATTCACAAATAAGCGAGATTACTGATACGCCGACACAGCAACAATCAATCAATGTGACTTTGACAACAAATTGAATGAGATTGCTGTTTTGACTTTTCGATATGACAGTAAATTGACCTGCAATCAATGTACAAACACAGATAACCAAGTGCTTTGACCAAAACTTAGAAAATTGGTGTAGATAGGCTTATAATAAATATAGGCTAAATAATAAAACATAATTTATTTTGATATATTATTATTCAAAGTCGCGAAAGACGGGCTTTCCCTTCTGATTTCCCAGATGTTCCTCAAAATATCCAAACTTAATATTCCTAAGAGAGATGGTTATCATCATTTATTTCAACCAACAATTTCCTATTTCACTTAAGCCACATGTACATAATATTTCTAACACGTTATGTTTACTCAATGATCAACTATATAAATACTTTTTTATTATTTATTTATCTGGTTTTTACTTTTTATGCAATAGATATTCATTCTCTCATTCATCGTTCAATTTAACGTCATCGCGAGAAACGCGCTGCCAAGTTGTCATTGCTGCAAGTCAAACCAAAAATATTCACGTCACGAACGTTGAGTTGTCATCACGGCTCACGGGTGCTCGTTACGTCAAATCATGATTTGAGTTCCTAAATATTTTAACTTCTACAGTATTTTATATTTAATTTGTATAATATTCAGTTTAATATAATATAACCTTTAGTATTATTAAAATTAAGGTCAGTTCACATTTTCAATCGGAGATATAAAAATTTTGGTATTCAGAGTTCTTGAAAGTGATAGTTGGTTAGAACTGATTTGTACTTTGAGAAGATCTTCGTTAGTGTGTAGTATAGTTGCTTTAACATCATGGACCAGAGTGGCATAACCCCGAACACTTCGAATCAGCAGCTTGTTATAAACAGTGATAATGAGTCGGCGACCGCGCTGCTGCAGGAGAAGCAGAGTAGAAGAAGAGAGAATCTAAATGAAGTATCCTTGACCGAATACATGACTGTCGGAATATTGTGCTTCGTCAACCTTATCAACTATATGGACAGATTCACCATTGCTGGTAAGTTACAACAAACTTTAGCCAACTTTCTTTAACTTTCAGTTGTGTAAAAGAATTTCTTAAATAATGTACTGGCTATGACTAATAATAATTAAGCTTTTAACACCTTACAATTGGTACTTTATCATAATAAATGACTTTCTTATAAGAATATTAAGAAGCAGGTAATTTGACTTTAGCAAATAGACAATAGATGTAGGTAATAATTAGAAGGTCGAATATAATTATGAAAAAAGGTTTTATATTTAAAATATTATAATTTTCCTTGGGATCATGGCCAACACTTGAATAATTCTCTTACAATACTCTTGACACACTAAAATGAAAAAAAAATACCCTTATCTATAAAATCTTATTTCATTTCAAACCGATGTAAGATATAGCAAACCTTTGAGGCTTTTAGTTTAGAAAAGCACATTGGTGTTTGATTTCCTTTACAATTTGAGTAATTGTGATTATGTAATATGAAATCTTGTTAAATGTTCTCTTACGAAAGAACAATTCTTGCCGAGTTATGAAATCTGTGTGATTACAAATACTGTGCGTACTATGAGATTTCAATGATTCCAAAGCTATCTTTTTAACAACCTGTACTGTACAACCAGTAGTTATAAAACTTCTAAATAAATTAAAAAAGATACTGCGTAATGTCCTACAGACCACACTATAAAACTATAAAATTTAAAAGTAGATAGATATATAAATGCAAATTGCCAAATACAAACTACTTGGTTAAATTAAAATTAAGACAACGGGAAACATATTTCAGTTCCCTCTATTTCGTCTCAAATTAGCATTCCACTGTTAGATCTATTTATTATATGAGACAAATATTTAACATGACACACTGCCCATCTCCAAAGTGGTAGACAAATGCTCCTGTACATTGTAACACCCACTTTTTATTGGTTATGAGTCCCATCAAGTCCCATGTCATATAATGGTTACGCTGTATTAGATTAGTATAATAATTGACCAAAATTAGGCAAACTATATCTTCTTTCCTTCCTGATTTTCCAAATACAAATACCCTGTAACTATGCTGTCTCATACTGCTTTGTTTGTTGTCAGATTTCTACAATAAAATATAATTTTTGTTTTAATTGTATTTTAAGCTCGATATCTTATCTACCAAAGTCATTCGTATGTGACTGCCTTTCAATTGCGTAATCTATAAAAATCTTATCAACTGATAAACAGGTAACATTAATGTGTTTAAAAATGTATGATTCTAACATTAATGGGACTTTAATTATCTTTTTCATACCTATCATTGGTCGACTGGCTGCAAGTGCAACATATTTTGGCCGATCCTTGAAAAATTATTTTTCAGGAGTTTCGAAAAGTTTCTGTATTAGTCCAAAATGACTGGGATTGTGCCCAATGTATTTTAATAAATAAGCTATAACTGATAAAAAGGTGGTGTTACATTTGTGCACCTCTGCCCAAACCTAGGTAATGAAAAGCAAGACCTTATCTAAATTATTAGTTACTTTACAAACCTCAATGAGGGGAAACAGGTGCTTCCAAATGATCGTAATAATAAAAAAGTAAACATTCAAGTAAAGTGTGTATGACCTCAATTTCTGTTCAAACATTTTAATTGCCCGACAGATAATGTTTTATTACTTTAATTATAAAACCTAAACAAAATAGTATGAAGTCATGTTTAGGTCACTTTTTGCTGATCATTATTCTTGTAATCAACTTCCGCATTATGTTGTGTCTATTTCTTGTTGATACAATGTATAGAATAGGTGTAGGTATTATTAACATGTTTGTTTTGTTGTTCATTTCTAATTGACATTAGATATCCGCATCAGCACTTAATGGATATCCTATCTTTGACTTATGACATGCTAAACTCGAACTAATTAGCTGTTACGAGCGAAAATTACGCATTCTCAGAGGCACGGCTTAGTTCCTTATTTAAAAAAGGAAACTTTTTTTACTTGAAAATATTCCCTTACGACAAGTCGGCACATTCTTTGGCCAGTAGTGGATCACGTTCATCAGACACTCGCTGCTTCAAGGCAGAATAACTTGCCAGTGAACAGAATTGCATTCACGTGATGGAAGTAAACAGCTTGCGTAATATAACTCGATATAAAACACCTCATACACAAGGTATCTAATAACACGATTACAAGGGAAATTAAAATACGTTTCGTAAGTAACTGTTTTTATTTCCAGTGAAAATGTTATAATAAATAGTTCGTATTCTTGTTTAACGAATTCAAATTACATATGTATGAATGCGATATATTTACGGTGCCTTTCCTATACGAACGGAAATGACGAAATTATATGGATTCCTTTTCTACATTAGTTAGTTGTCGACGAAACCCTAAAATAGCGCAGTGCGACTGCATTTAAATAAGGGACTTTATTCTCTTTATTAGTCATAAGCTTATAAGTGAACTGTAATGCGTGTTAGTACCTGAATAATAATAATACTTTTAGTTATAAGGGAAACAAACCACAGTAATTCAAAGAAACCGCAATATTCGACATTAACTGGAATCAGTACGTAGGTACTTACGTAGGTGGGCAAATTCTAATTAGATTAATTGAACAAATAATAAGTACCCCTATGTATGGATTTTTGACGAATGAATCATAGAGTCGGGCCATGTTAATAGTCATCTAATCATACATTTCATTAACCTTTGTTACATCTGTCTGTCTGTTTGTCTGATTTAGTCATCCATATCTTCATAGTAGACAGGTACGTCATCGGTATTTTTCAAGGGTTTTGTTTAACTGCAGGCTAATTTTATCTTATCTGCGATGCCAGAGCTTCTACTGATGCGAAAATTCCGTGGTTAAAAGTAATTTTAGAAGTAGTAATACAATAGAGAAGTCGTACGATAATACGATAAGTGGACAATAACAACATTCCTGAAGCAGTGGTAATTTTTTATGGTGACACAGCATTTTAGGAATGAATGAATTAAATTATTTAGCTGTAATTTAAATTTACTAAGTAGTTAAATACTCAATTAATGCTATGTAATACTAGCTTAAAGACAGAGTTTATGTATTTGAGTATCAGTTTAGTCACGTGCACTCCATTCAAGTATGTATTCTGAAATTAGAGAGTGTAGTGAGTTTCATTAGTCATTTTTGGATTGGTTCTATAAAATAGATACTATATACGCTTTCTTCGTACAAAAAGATAAGTAATGACTTTCTATTCGACTCTACAACTTCATGCTCGCTCACAAATATGTCACAATTTTCTAGATGGTACAGTTAACACCCTACGTGTTGAGTAGCTGTTGGTCATAAAACTTCCAAGTCTCTTGCGTCACATTTCTAGTGCGGTTAATCTTTTCATGTCGAAATAAAATGACTTCTTCCTGCGTCAAAAGCAAGCTCTAAAATAGATTAGTTAATAATCCTTTTTATCTTGGACGCACTTTACTGTCGCTACTTAAAATTCCTGGAGGAATCCTGTTACGAAATATATTCAGAACACTGCCTACGTAATGTTTACATTTTGAGTTAAGCCACGGACGATGTCAATGACTTTTTAAGTTTCAAAACCTCCCAGGATCTCTATCATACAAAGAAAAGAATGTTTGTGGGCAGTTACAAGTTTTAACCGTTTAGTGACGAAGACAAGTTGAAATTGTCCTCAAAAACATTTGTTACGGAACTGAAGATAACCGACTTAAAGGACTGTTGCGCGGCGAGCCCTAATTTCCAAGCAATACATGGTCAGATAAGTTTAATCGTGTTCCGAAAGAATCAATACAGTCGGCTTCTCTTTTGTAATTCGGTAATGGATTCAAATACACGGTTTTACGTTCATCAATGTGATAAAAGTGTGTATTAGGCGTCAATAAATTTCTATGAATGAATGGTGAACGCCCAGGGTGGGAGCGACGTCACGTAATCAGAGAACTAATCTCTAGTGTCTACTCACGTGCGTCAGTGCGTGGGCTCTCTTCTCATTCCTTACCGAATACAATGTCGCCCTTTAAATATGTAACAGGCGTTATAACTTGATTGTTTGTGGAATTAGGACGGGTGGTCGGACTGTTACACCGACTTATGGACGCTTCGTATGTAAATGAATGATTTATTTTTATGCAAGTTGTATTTTTCATAAATGGTTACCAAAATGGTTGGGGAGCAGTAAGTTTGTGGGTGTGAAAACCCTCAGGAAATATTCTTTTTATTGACGCTTTGTTGGGCGTAGGGGGTTGATTTCCCTCGTGGCCTATCCACAACTTACCACCGTAATACATGCTACAAATATTGTTATCTAAATTAAAATCTAAAAGCAATCACGAGGGACCTAATATTATTCGTAGACATAAGATAAAAATTAAATGACGATTGTCGTGGAAGATAAAACTAAAGCAGGTGGACTTTTAAAATGTGGAAAACACGTGAGTTAGTTTATTCGACGTGATTGCGTAAAGTTAGCGGAATATGAATATCCTATTGCCATAAACAAGGTTCAGATACTTTAACATTGAAAAGTTTCACAATATAAAACCAATAAATCTACAGAAGTTGGCTATTCAACTCAAAATCATCGAACCAGATTGCGAAAAAAACTCCAGTTATATCATATTAGATCAGAAATGCACAAAAAATAAGGATGGAGATTTTGCTATCATTGTTGAAATTATTTTGGGAACCTTAAATCGGCTGCCCGAATATAAAACTGTTTATTGAAATGCGAATTATACCTTACCGCATTTACAGTAAAAACTTCCGCATAGGTATCATGAAGGTCGTTAATCAAGTTATCAAACTACATACGTATGTAGATAGGCAACACTCACTTTACGCATTATTTGCTTAGTTTTTACCGTTTACAACATTATCTCATTCATATCGCTCTGTTTACGTATTACTAATTTATGTTTGACAAAGGTTATCTCCGAATCACTGATTATATTATTCAACAATGAGTCACTTGCCATTTTTTTTTCGCTGTTATTGAATGTTTCCTATTTCCGAGACACGTCTGGCAAATGACC